GGGTGGCTGCTAGGGGGGGCTGATTCGGTGCCCCTCCCTCCCCCGGATGGGACTGAGTATGACGTAGGAGGTGGTAGAGTAGGAGTGGGTGTGAGAATGAGAGTAGGAGTAGACAGGTAAATCAAGATGGGGATTAAGGTTTGGACATATGGATATATGGCGAGGATATTTGGAAGTGGATGTATGGGAGAGACAGTTGGAGAGGCAGTTGGAGGGATATGCGCGGTGGTGAGTACCTAGGATATAGATTAGGTAGGTATAAGTGATCCGTTTGAAAGCCGTATTATAAGGAGATTAGTAGCAGTTTACTTTGACTGGTGAATTGACAAGTTTTCAATCAATATCGATCGAGTATATGGTAGCAATGGAATTAAACTTACTATTTATACCAAACTCTCCTAAGTGTCTACCTACCTACCGCACGTTGGCCCCTTAGGAACATCGGCAACAACTATAGGTCTCATGAAACAGCAGGAATATATTTCATTGTATATTTTGTGGTCCACTCTTCTATAGGCGAGATAAGTCTGATATGTCGCAGTTACACATGAAGGATTGAGCTGGTCTAAACTCCTATTGCCGAAGACTAACACATACAATTATTAAAGATACCTTATTGGCATCTATTGCGCTCCCCAAGCGCTATAAGCGACTTTCAATATCAATATTTTATTATGTTATATTCCTCTTTAGAGATATTGACTTGATACACTCCTGCTAGTTGATACTGAAATCTACTTGACGACCCTGCTTTCCTATATTTTATGCTAGTACTCTCATCTGATAATAAACATGCATTGGGCTTAGATTAACATTGCAGTATGTAAATAATTGTCGGTGGCATCTCGAGTTAACCTCAAGGTTGGTAGAAATTTGATGTTTCAACAGGCGTATGGTCTTGGTGTCATAACTTCTACAAAGGCTGACTAACGCCAACTACTTTCGAATTTCGACTTGAAATTAGACCCATATGAGCTGCTAGTAAAATTTATTCTCGCTAGAGGATATTCATGTCATATTTACTATATAATGCTTCGTCATAAATCAAGACACGTAAACCGTAAACCGTACGCCATGTGTAACATAAGGCTTTTAGCAACACTCTACTATATCCTTAGTTACTTAAATCTTACTCCGTACTATCTTCTTCAAAAACCACTAATACCGTGCCAGCTTTACATTTATCCTTCAGTTGAAATTAGCAATCACGAGACCTAACTAGTAAGACGCAAAGACTTACCCCTTCTTTATGCGCGAGCCTCTTGATGACGCCATCTTGTGGTGACCGAATGACTGTTTCCATCTTCATGGATTCTATACTGGACTTGATATGAGCACACCGCCGAGTTATCATGTCAGAAAATGGGAAATGGACTTACACGACGAGCGGGGCTCCTTTGGTAACTCTATCACCCTCCTTAACTTCGTTCTTGAGGATCTTGCAAGGCATCGGGGCTGCAACCGACCCTGTGATCTCTCTCAACCCCAAAGCTTTCTCGTACCATGACGGAGATACTAGTGTTAATTCCGTCTTAGTCCCAAGTTGGAATATGGTGACCTTATTATCATTATTGGGATCTTGAACCACTGTCGTTCCTATCCGCGTGTGGGGGAAGTAGGTTATCAGACTAGTCTTGTCGGAGCTTGAAACGAGGGAAGACACGAGATCTTTAAAAACCTGAGGATCTTCATCTTTCCGTATGACTCGAGCGTCGAACAAGCTGTTGCTTTTTTGAGTTATGCTAATATTCACCACCTCTCCTTCTTTCTGATCTAGCACATCAAGGGACTTGAAAATAAACGTTCGTTCACTGCTGTTTAAGCCAAAGCCGAGACACCCTCCATGAGGCTCAACAACCTCCGCAGGCTGAAAAGCAAACGTGCCAAGTGCTGCTTGTATATACACTTCAGGCTTGATTACCACGGGATCGAAAAGTTCCCCTTTCCACTTTTCGATAAAGCCCGTCTCGACATCTCCTTCTATGAACGCCGGTGACCTACATAGGCGTTTCAAGAACTCAATGTTAGTGCTCAAACCTACAACTTCGTAGTCGCGTAGAGCGAGCTCCATCTTCCTAATAGCAGTCTCGCGATCCCTACCCCTGACGATGAGTTTCGCAATCATCCCGTCGTAGGCTTCGGTAACAGTATCGCCTTCAACAAAACCAGCATCGATTCGGATGTCCTTGTCGACCTTGGGAGTTTTCAGATGAACAAGCTTTCCCGAGTCAGGTAGGAAGCCCTTTTCGGGACTTTCAGCGTATATCCTGGCTTCAATGGCCGCTCCCCTCTCGTGAATTCTGTCCATGATTTCTTTTTGCGTCAATGGTAACCTTTCCCCAGCTGCAATACGGAATTGCCATTCCACTAGATCCGTTCCCGTGACCATCTCACTAACGGGATGTTCAACTTGGAGTCGAGTGTTCATCTCCATGAAGTAAAAGTCGCCAGTGTCCTTGTCGAAAATAAATTCTACTGTTCCCGCACCCACGTAGCCTACTGCTAAGGCCGCCGTCTTGGCCTTTTCCCACAGATCTAGTCTTGCGTTATCATCCAAGTCTGGAGCTGGTGACTCTTCCAATATCTTTTGGTGGCGGCGCTGTATGCTGCAGTCCCGTTCTCCTAGGGCAACACAATTACCGTGCTTATCTGCGAATACTTGTACTTCAACATGTCTTGGCCGTACGATGTATTTCTCAACCAGCATAACCTCACCGCCCTCTCCGAATGAAGCTTTGGCCTCTGCTCGCGCGCTTTTCAACTGTTGGATAAACTCCCCTTCTTCCATGACGATACGCATGCCCTTGCCGCCACCTCCCTTTACGCTCTTTAGCAAGACTGGGAATTCGATCTCCTTCGCAAATTCCAACAGCTCCGCTTCGCCCTGTTCACTGCCATGATACCCGGGAACGCATGGTACGCCAGCTTTAGTCATGATCTCCTTGCTTCGGGCTTTGTCTCCCATGTCTGCCATGGCTTGAGCAGGTGGCCCAACAAACACGATGCCCTCTTGCTCACACCTCTTAGCGAAAGCGGAGTTCTCCGATAAGAAGCCATAGCCTGGATGTAATGCCTGAATACCGTGCTGCTTTGCTAATCTCACTATCCTCTCCCCATCAAGATATCCATTAGCAGCACCAAGGCTGATGGAATGTGGGGAGCAAGAAGCATGCTGTGCGGAGGCGTCTGGGTCAGTATATAACGTTGTGGTTTTTATACCGAGACGTTCAGCCGTCTTATTTATCCTTAATGCAATCTCACCGCGGTTTGCAATTAGTAGAGATGTTATAGGAGTAACGTGCGGTTGTATAGAAGAACTAGCTGAGGATAGGTAACGGGGAAATGGACCTCGGCGGAGATGTCTTGGCTTGATTGAACGCATTTTGAACTTGTTTAGATTAATGTGATACTCATGAGGTGACCACGAGAGGTACAAATAGTATATTGAGTTAGTTATAGAGTAAATACATTGAGTTAGGTATGTTAAGAGAAGGATAAGAGGGAAGGAATATATTTTTGTCCATTCCATCTTGCCGTCCTCGACGTAAGATGGATGAAAGCCGTAAGTAAGCGGACCCACCCCGCGAAAAGCCGCGGTTCTAGTGTAAATCCCCGGTTTCTGCCTGTCCTTTTACCTTTTAGCTATGGCCCAAGCTCCCAGCTCCAGCCTCAATGGAGTATTCCAGGGGTTCAGCCCCAACCCCAACGTCATCATGGGAGATCTGATAGGATCGCTGATATGTAGGATTATAATTTTTGACCCCTCCATCGCCAAACCACTTCACGCGACAAGAGATCCCCAACGCTCACCACCGACGCGATGGATCAGATATCTCTTAACCATGAGGCCTCGGCCGGCGACACACACAAGCAATTGGTTACGTCGCTTCCTCCGGAAGTTGTCCAATGCCTCGAAAATGCTCGTTTTGTAAGTCCCCCTCCAATCCCTGCTTATCATGTTCGACCCCCAGGCGCTAACCCAGAATCCCGGTATAGCTTCACCTGGCGACATGTACCGATAACCAACCGCACGTGTCGCTGATGAATTACACTTATATCCCTTCTTCACAATATTCTTCCGCGCCGGTTATCGTCATGACGACAAACCCTTCATCTAAGAAGACCAATAACCTCGTGGTCAACCCTAATGTCTCCTTATTAGTTCACGATTGTGAGCACCCTTAATTAAAGATTATTGTCGAAAAAAAAAACGCACTGGAAAAGGGCTAACCGCTTACAGGGGTTTCGCATAGGCCGCCAACCCAAGGCCGGCGGATGTCCGGTGGCTCTCCCGGACCCGAGAATAGATCGAGCCTAGCATCGCTACTGCTGAACCTTAACACGAGCGCCATATCTAGCATCAGCGCGACAATCAACGGGACAGCGGAGCTTGTATCCCGCGGTTCGGCCGAGGAGGAATATTATCGTAGCCAGCATCTCGAGAACAACACCTTCGACTCCGAGGGCGGCGTCGCGTTCAACGCTGCGGGTGGGCTGACATCGGGAGGGCAAGAAGATGGTGGTCGCGAGTGCTTCGTTGCGGGCGAGGAGGTGCGCGTTATACTGGTGCATATCAATGATATACGGACCAGCGACTGGAAGGGCAGCGTCAAGGATTGGGTTTTGGTTCCGGATGCGAATCCGGCGCCGACTATGAATGGTGGGGGAGGGGTTGGTCTGTGAGTTGGCAAAGTTGAGCTGCTTTTGAGAGAGATGGCTTTATTATTTGCTCAGTGTCGCTTCAGTTCAGCGCATTCGGTGAGTTATTTCAGAGACAGGAGGATATTCACCCTACAACATGTTCTATTTATGTTCTATTACATTGTAACATCGGGATAGCTTGTCCTATAGCCGTTTACATGGGTTAAAAACCAACTACGCTTTTTAGTCCAGATTTAAGTAGCGGGATATACGTGAAAAGAAATAGCCCGCTAGGCTACCTAAAACTATATCACGTATATACCTTTCCATGTTCACCATTTTCAGGGTTAGTTAATTATGTCAATGTTTAATTTCGAACTTGTTGACTTAGTAGATGAGTCAACAGATATGATATTTATTGGTATTTTATCGCACTTGGCAACGCATTTAAAAGTAGACCAGCGAGTGCAGTATTTGGTTCATTTCTTTTCGTTGTTTTGTCATCTAGATGGCTCAGATGCCTCGGCGGGCATTGTACCTGAGATGGTAGTCATACAATCTTCGAAGACATACACATCGAAGAGTAAGCCCTCCTGCTTTCTAATATATACATGCTAGGTTGAGCTACCGTTTTAGTGGGCATATTCCAGGTCTAAGGGCCTGGCTTTGTTATAAAAAGAGGATAAAATCGTGCAAGTCGACCTTATATGCTCTCTCTTCTTGATATTACTGCCCCATACTGAGGTTACGAGGCGCGATGCGCTTTCTATACGAGCATATAGAAATTCTTAATTTGTCGGATCTTGGGGTTTTGAATCGCCTTGGATCTCACGCGGCATGGGGGGCGGAGTCCGTGGTTCGGTATTTCGATATTTTGGTTCCATGATACCGACCTGGAGGGTAGTCAGCATGCAATTACTATTTCGTATAATCCCTATGCCTTTACGCGTTTATAGTCATGACGTAAGACTAGCCAAAATTGAGAAATATGTTTCATACCATTGATAATAGTCTCCAAACAGTATCTGTGGGCTGCGCACCAACACCGATCCAATACTTAGCTCTTAGTGTGTCCAGCTTGATGTCTTTGTGCAAATTTCCCGAGTCGTCATATGGGTCAGGCTTCGGGATCGGGTCGTATGTGCCGATGACCTCGAGTGGCTTGCTATTTCGTGCCGTTCTATTCCGGCGGTTAGCTTCCATGATACCACCCGGCTGGTAGTCTTTTTGGTTGAGTGGCTTATATAAATAAAACTAACCTCGCATGGGCGACTACAATATTGTAGAAAGGAGAGTTCTTGCGCCCGAAACGCGCAAGACGAATCTTCACTACCATCCTGATCGCAGTGCCGTTTTGTGGTTTGTAGGTCGACTGCGACTTACGATTGATTGTATTTTTGGTGTCGCATGCGATAAGGTTCCATACAGATGGATGGATGGAACCTATTCAATAATTTTGGCGGATCTGGAAACTGTTTTCTCCGTTCTAACCAATCGGAGTGATGTAATTGCTTAGTCAGTTGATCGTATGGTACTTATACCAGTTAAAGCCAATTAAGATCACAGCTTTCCCCGGTGATGTCAGTCGATCAGTTTAACTAAATCCCTAAACTCTCAAACTCCTCCTTTTTCAAGTAACTTTCCAACCTTTTTTGATTTTAGATAGTTTAAATTGGTGACCTCATAACTATCAACTTCCTAACATTATATAACTAGTATAATAAAAACCATGGCAATCAAAGTAAGTTAGGTGGCATATCAATACATCAAAGTTGGAAATTGACTTACACCATTTCAGACCTTATCGGCGAAGGCAGCAGCAGCTCTGGATCAAGAGCTTATGAGCACCGGTGCCTTTTCGCTTGATCAGCTCATGGAGCTTGCCGGATTAGCAGTCTCACAAGTTGGCACGCGCTTTAACTTGGCTAATTACTCGTCTGCCGGTATCTAATGGCTGCTGCACAGTGTACCGGGTTCATCCTCCGAATAAAGGCAACAGAGTGCTTGTAGCTTGCGGTCCTGGTAATAACGGTGAGCAACTCCATTGAACTGCATAGTCAAGATTTCTAATATGTTAAAGGTGGCGATGGGCTCGTTGCAGCTCGTCATCTTCGTCATTATGGGTATCAGCCGGCTATTTACTATCCAAAACAAAGCAAAAATGAGCTCTACCAGGTATGTAGGATATCGCATGCTGTCTTTGAAAGCTCCCAATACTATTAATACCCCGGAACTGGTTCTCAAGTACCCTCTGATTTCTCCGTCTCGATCAAGTCATAATAGCCATTAGCCACGTTCTTAACCGCTCTATTTCATCACTGTTACTATACCCCTAGACTTGTCTAGTGTATATCAACCCTTAGTCGTGGGCTACGACGCGTATATATTGTGTTTCGCTCTTCTTAGACGATTTGATCTAGCGTCCGATATACTGATCATAAACTCTCTCAAATAGCGACTCGCTAAACAGCTAGAAGACCTTGAGGTGCTGTTCGTGGAGGATTTCCCGGCGGCTATTAAATCGGCGGATCATATTGTGGATGCCGTTTTCGGTAAGCATTATTGTCGTACTTCGAATATACCAGACTCATCCATAAGCAAGGATTCAGCTTCTCGGGCGAGGTTCGTGAGCCCTTTCCTGCGGTGATCCGTGCTTTAGAGGACACTAAACTTCCCGTAACCTCCGTTGACGCACCATCATCTTGGAATATTGAAACTGGACCACCGGAATCCGGCCTGGGAAGCAAGTTCAACCCTGATTTCTTGATCAGTCTGACAGCTCCCAAGCCACTCGTTAAATACTTCAAAGGGCGTCATTTTGTAGGCGGCCGGTAAGGGTCTTCTTACGGTATGAGAAAGCCTCTTGACTGACGTACTCCACAGCTTTGTCTCTCCGGCAATTGCTAAGAAATATGATTTCGAGGTGCCAGGGTATCAGGGAATTGACCAAATTGTCGAGGTAAGTATTGGGGGGGGAAAGCTCTAATTGCAGAGGCTCGACCGGGGGTGCCCTCCCAAGCTGGAAATACCGGCTTGTCGAAGATGCGCATACCCTGTGTTAACTGACACAGCAACCGCCGGTGCGACTGTAAGGACAAACTGGGCTGGGACATCTTCCTTCCTGCATATCTTCGCTCTCTTCAGCTATTCCCCTAGGGCACCGTAACAATGGAGGATGATAGTCTTTGCAGAACTCGACATAGACGAGATATTGTTTCCCGCAGACAGGGCACTCCGCGGTGTGCTCAGTGCACATTAAAGTTGCAAGCTGGGTCTTTGCCCCGAATTGCAAAGAACACCTGAATATGGAAAGTCCCTGGAAGGACGAAAGTCTCGACGACAACTGTTGATTTGGCATACCATCCGTATAAACGTGGCTTATTAAAGTTGGTGTGGCTTTCGAGTACAGAAATAGGACACAGGCGTCCATAAGAGTTATTGTAATACGACTATAGAATCGCCACCACCCGAACCAAAAAAGCACATTTGACCACTGATGTACTGCTAATGAAACCCCTGTGGCAATTACTGGTCATGGGGATACGTAACAGACAACCCCGATAAATGTACAAGAAGGTGGTTTCTCATTTCTGTTTACTCTAGCAGTTCATATTTACAGTCTGCCTGCTCTTCCTAATTTTTTGTGCTTGTTTAATCCAGCATACAACTAAACGGAGCCATACTACTGCTCTGTGGTGAGCCGGAGCAAATGCTCCGTAACACATGTGATAGGCCAATATGGATCTGCAACGCTTACTTTGTTAGTGGTCCCAGTGAACAGGTCTTTTTTTATTTTTTTTTTATTTTTTATAATTCTTTCTCCATTTAGGCTTCGACCGCCTTTAGGTGATGCTCGTAGATTCTGGATCAATTCGACCAATCTTACTCTCTACACGAGCAAATTCGAATCAGAATAAGCTTACCCTTAGACAATCCACAAGAGAACGTTCTAGTGTTATCGTTAAACCTCTACTGATTATTGATACCCGCCGGCGGGAGTGAGGTTTTGGGGGATCACAAATCCATGACGCTTATCTGCTATTGCTAGTAACTAAGCGACGATCAGTAAGAGGATGCGACTGCAGCCTTACAGATCCGTCACTGGTTTAGGGGCTCTCTTTGGTGTAGGTACGTAGGTACTAGAGAGTTGTTCGCGGATAAGCAAATGGCCAATATCCTGCATCTACCGTGAGACATTCTATTTGACCCGCTACCTAATACCGACACGGTGGCGCCTGCGATGCAAATAAGGTCGCTGCATTGTTGACATGTAATCAAACCATTTCCTTCGAGGCATCCCTCGCTTGGGAGACACGCCATAGTAAAGAAAAGGGGCAACAAACGTTTCGAGCGAACGATCCAATCCACCACGTCTACGTCTATGCATCTTGGCCTCTCGGGATGTTCCCACACGATCCCCACACGATCCCCACGATCCGCATTAGAAACATACATGTGTACGCTGCATGTGTATAATTCCCATTACCCACACTAGATGTTCCTTTCTTTAGCCACTGTTCTGGCCTGAAATTTATGTAGGAGTCAGCTTCATGCCCAACCGTCCCGCTGAGTGCAACCGAAAGGATCATGTTCCCGCTCTCCGCCGTAGCCAAACGGCCGGGGCCATAACTACCTATGTAATCAAATACCTAGCGGCTTCGAACCGGCCGGTGTAAATGCCAAGCTAGGAGCATTTAGCCCGCTCGTAGCCCGCTCGGATAGATAGACAACAGATATAGCAAACGATGTTCACATTCAAGCTCGTAATCCTTTTTCCTCTCTTAGAAAACGAAGGCTTCTCCTCGTCTGCATGCGCACTGCCAGCGTCGAGTTCGGTATGAGGGCCGTTTTTCGATCCCGATTCATTCGCACGCGGCCCCTTACCAAAGTCATCGAGATTGATTCATCTCAATACGACATTGGATGCGTTGTTACCTTATAACTTTTGATCAATATTAGGCATCTCTTCCGTCATTGTTTGTATTCACTAACTATCCTTACTTTGTGGCCTCGGTTATAGATAACCTAGGATCGCGCCTAGCAGATCATCCAGCCTCTTAGAACCCGTGTCGGTGAGCAGGTGTATCCACATATTAACATCCTAATGCTCGGATCATACTCCTCGATAATTCATTGGTATTTGACTGGGCTGCCTGGGTGCGGTCTAGGATCAAGCAGATTTAGGGTATCACTATGTAGGTCGCGAAGCTTGATGAGCCGAGCTAAAGCTGATATCAAGCTGGAAGCATAGCTAGCCAAATTATAGATGGAGACCTTAAGAAAGGGCCGAATTTTCCTCTCATCAAGCCTCTGAAAAACAACGCACATTTTCTTTCGCCACAGCGGCTCTTGAACATGAGTATCATTCCCTCAAGCTTGATCATAGTGACATGCTGATATCGTTTGGTAGCTATGACGGTGAGTTATCTTAAGCTTATTTCACTCCGCTACGCTACGCAGAGCAAGCATTATTCTAAGGAATGGCGTCGCATATCGCGTTTGGTTCGTCAATCGCACGACAGCAGTGCATCAATAACGTCGATCATGGCCTCTTACGGATTCACTTATACACCAGGTAAGTATAGAACTATATAGGCCAGCTAGGTGAACCCGAGCTGACATGTAGCCTCGTGGTCTTGACTGTTCGCTAATCTCCGCTCGGGATAGGCCTCACTTGCGAATCCGCCGCTGACGCTGTCGAAAGTTGGGGGAGACTAGGTTGTTTGAGAATATTCGCCACTCTTCTAGCATCAACCATTACCCCCTGTCTTATGCACAGCCGGATCATAAGCCATAATGTGGCACCTATGTGGCTGAAGCTACCCCCTGTCACATGACCCCACTAGAGTACCTAAGCTCAATTCCGACTTTGTAAGGTTCCACTCCGTCTCCACTCCGTTTGCCACTTTACAACGACAACTTGCGAGGCCAGACGCGAATCTACGGGATTCCCATATGTAGAGACCCTTAACCTAGAGATAAGATGCAAAATTCTTTAGTAGGCAATGCGAATACGAATATTTCCCCATATTGCTAGCCACTCAGCCACTCTCGCACGATGTATACAGGTCGCATTCCTGGTAATTGTTTGCCGTGATAGCCCGAACTCCGAAGCATTCATGGCTTGACTCTTAGCTTCTATCGATGACTGGATACCGTAATTATACCTGCCTACCTATGTTTCATATCCAGCCCTACCGTATTATTTCCGCTTAGTGTTTTTGACAGGTGTCTGATGCTGGGGCGCAAACAGGGCATTTGAGATGAAATGTGACTGCGCTACACGTGTTATATTCGCCTCTATCACGAGACACGCCTCAGGTGGCGTAGTCGGCAGCTGTCCCGTTTAACTCATATGTATTATACAGTCCTGTGGCAAAGTATTTCTTCAACTCTGTGAGATACCGGTCTCGTTTAAAGCTATGAGACTAAGCCGTGCAGAAGTCTCTTGCTAGAGGCAAATCTGGACAAGACGCGATAGTCTTTTTTTACTCTATGTAGATCAACTGCTGAGTTATTCCCTGGAATGGAAGGTTTTACTACGTATATGACAGCCTGGTTTGTGATATTTAAGTTAAGATGGCACGACGGATACTGCCATGGGAAGGTATAGGTAAATTGGGATGAGAAATCGTAAAAACCTTTTTAATTACTTAGGTATGTTTCTAGTGCAAATGCCAAGTTCCAACAACGTCGATGTCATGGCTTCATAGTAATGGCCAGCCTCTCCCCTTGGGGTACTTTGCCTATCCTGTCTCATCTGATTTCTTACTCCTCCCCATACACCAAACAAAAACAATAAAAATAGTACTACCGAAACAAAAGCTCTATCCGTCCTTGCCCCCCTTTCAAAAATCTCGGTACGATAACAAAACTAACAAAGCAAACAAATAAGCTGAGACTCGAGAGAGGTCCCTGCATAAAAATGCTCTTAGAATTCCACCATGCCGTACGAAAATGTTCTAGTGGCCTAGTACTTGCAGACGATGCGAGAGAAAATCATATCATGATTCATATATCATCGCATCAAATCCACCTTCCTCGGAGGTAATTGTCCAGAGTCCAAATATACTGCCGTGTTTTTCTCCTTAAGAAGTTGGTTATGCTGATCTGGCCTTTATTCCCCCCTTCTCAAGGATTAATATGAAGGTAAATGCAGTTTGGACGAGCTGGGCAAGGTGTTGCCTTTCAGGCTGCCTTTAAGGGCATCTCGGTAGGAAAGGCATGGTAGTCGGAATTGGTGGTACTCCGGCTCTTGCTTCGACTTTGGCTCGGGTCTGGACTCCAGTTTAGGCGCCGGCTTAGGCTCCAATTCTTGTGTGCGTTCTTGTTGTTTCTTTTGTCCACGTTTTTGCTTTTGCCCCTTCCTCTTCGGGCGTGAATTCCTTGATCCCTTCTGGACGAGATCCTTCTTCTTCGGATTGTCTTGGCTCTTAGTGTGGTCTATGGAGTGACCGCGGAGACCGGTAGGGATAGTCGCGGACGAGGCGCCGGTAGTAATTGCCTGGCTATAGAGGAGGGGCTTCTTCTGTGCCTCGGGTAGCACAGGTGACCTTTGCTCATCCTCTTCACGTGGAGCAGCTAGGGTGTCCTTAGGAATGGAATATTTGGAAGTACTAGCCTTGGCCTTCTCAACGTTTACCTTGGCTGATACGACGACGACTTGTGAACTGGTTGGTGCTGGAGTCTCAATTTTGGCCTTTGTTTGAGTCGGGGCCGCAGTTGGAGTAACGATCGGAGTAGCAACAGCTCCTGGGGTAGATGCAATCTGGGATGTAGCAGACCCTCGAGGAATCTTGGCTTTAGCTATGGGAACAAGAGGAATCACCGGGATGACCGCGGTTGATCGGGTAGGCCTTTGAATTCCTAAGGGTTTCCCGCCCTCCTGCTTGTCAATTCTGTCATCTTTAACGGTATCGGCGCTGAATACTACTGGAGAAGTCGGGGCGCTGGAAGCCACAGTTGCATAGCTCGTAGCAACAGGCTGCCCGATGCAGTCTACAGTAGCAGATTTCGCATAATTGCCTGCGAAAGTTGGAGCAGAGGCCAACGGGGTCACAATTTGCTTGCCTTTTAAGTCATTGCTGGATGCTGTTGCACGAATATCGATATCGTCAGAATCAACCGGGGTAAACGATATAGGCAAATGCTTCTCGTTGGGCATAGTGATGTCTGGCTTAGCAGCATCTCTTGGCCATACATTAGATGGGTTTGGGAGAGAAGATGACGAGTCTTGCTGGTCCATCTTGGCAAACACCATCCTATGTGTCCTATTTGACCAGCGACGGGTTCCTTTGTCGGTTCTACGACCAGGCTGGCCGCCCACAAGGCCTTGCTCCAGGACCGGTACAGGAGGTCGAAAATATGGCTGAACCGTCAAGTTCAACGGGATCGCAATTTGATAGTGGAATGCGCTAGCCCGAGACATTTCAGATGAAGTAACGATAAAAGAAGCTACCTTTTGTGGTGGTGAAAGGTTGTGTGCAAAGTGGTCTTTAGTGGAATTGCTATTTATTGCCGGATGACCGGCCTTGAAAGGGCGGATGCTTGTCGGGCCATTGAACCCCATCAACCAGTTGCTAAATACCGAAACGGTAACATCATTTCGGTCCGGTATGGCCGCTACGCGAAGCATGCCTTCCAGACTCGCGAGATTGTCGAGGTATTCTTTGGTCTTCGACAGTACAGGGGCACCGCCAAGACCTACGTTAGAACAAAAGTAACAGTAGCGTGCTACGATATGTCGCTCGTAACGAGTCGTGTCCAGGCAAGCTGGTGCTCCGGGAGCCACATGCCCACAGAAGAAGTTAACAGCGACATAAGCGTCCTCGCATATGCAACAAAGCCAGTGCTCGAGTCGACACATCTTGGCTGTCGATTTTGCAGTTGAAAGACGAACAAGTTGTATTGGATCTCCCTGTTTCGAAGCTTTGATAGGCGAATGGTTCAAAGGCAATTTAGACAGCCAAGGGTTTATGTCGTTTATCCTATGAAGATGTCGATGTTGAAAGGACAAGGCTGGGGAAAGGGGGAATATATATAATTAAATAGAAGATTTGTTGGATGTATTTGTTAAAAAACAACCACATCGTTTCGTAACCATCTTTGTGTGAGGAAAGTTCTCTGATTCACGATCTTGCACTTTGTTGCACAACACCTTGTATTGTCGACCAACTCATAAGTAGCTTTAGTCTTGTGATGGGTTGTTCCGAACAGACTATTGGCTGTGTAGCACCATATAGGACTAAGCACTTACTTGGAAAGTGACAAGAACTGACTCAATATGTGAGCCCGAATTCGGAAGAAATTATCGGGAAGGAAGATACAAGGCCGAGAGGTTTTCCGGTTCGTGGTTGTTTTCTGGACACGGGATCTACGTATAAAACCGAAAACCGGGGCATATGATAGCTTCCGAGATTTAGGCTCTGAGCTGAATATACTTATTTTAATTGTTTAGGTTCTTGTAGGTAATGAACTCAAAATTAGTAGTTTGTTGGTTTTTTTTTAATTATTTTCTTTTTTATAATAAACAATTTACGGCCAGTTTTGCTTAGATATATCACAATAGAAGCAATAAACTCCTTATCTATTTCTAACATAATATTCTATAAGACATGTTCTGGAGAGGAGAGTTCCTTTGATATCGTTAGTAGCTCGCCTTTCTCACATGATATATAAATACCTTACCGAAAAGCTCACCTACTATAAGAGGTTGGCCACGAGTAAGGGTAGTGGAAGTTAGTGGTAACCTCGCACACTGTCGAGAGTTGGTGGAGGGGACAAGCCCTTTATTATAAATAAGGAAATTGTTTCTGATTTGTCCAGGTTAACCATACGTCCTCGAATAGACTCAACATGAAAAGCCTAGTCTACACACAATCGAATATGCTTAAACGTCGAGGCTTTATCATGCTTGCTGCAATTGTTATCTTAGTAAAAAGAAAAATAAAGGATAAGGGTCGAAAACCTTCAACTACAGATCTTTATAATAAGTTTTCCAAGTACCTATGCGATTGAGGAAATATATTAGGCACCTATATGGTTAATGTTGTCATGGGTGATGTTGTAAGCACCCCTTATCAGTGGGTGAACTCAACGCCATCACCTACTAATATTTTAAGGTTGCCTAGGGCTGACGGAGATATGCTATATGCAAAGCATGTCTACTTAAGGCTTTTAACCCACAGTAAAAAGGGAGGTAGTAAGATCAGACCATTAAAAGAACTCCGAATCGGGGAATTGAACCCCGGGCTTGGCGGATTTGTCAAGTTATTATCAGTTACGAAAATGAGAGCACCAAATGTTAGCCACTACACCAATTCGGATTGCGTTTAGATGAGTTGGTGAAAATAATCTAGCGCAAAGATAGGGTTATATAGAATGTTTGCTGGGGTTGCCCTAACCTTGTTAGCGTCCACGATGGCATCTAGTCGATGCTTTAAATACTGAATATAGGCCATACCATCGGAAAGCTATCTTCCTTGAAGATTGTGTAGATACCCTAGGTAGACACCCTAGAAATTTCTTCTATCAAATGTCAGAATTGTAAGGGAAATAGTGCTGTTAAATATCTTTGGGGCTTAAATGATCAAGCGAACTCTTTATCCGATGCTGGTAAGCGGGATGAAAGTGTTTCAGCGCCTCTTTCACCTCTGTTATCTTAGTGTCAAATGGCTAACAATGATACATCTTCAGTAGAACAAGTTTCTGGGGTTATAACATAGAATTTATCTCTCTACATTTGATTTGAGCCCGGCTTGTTAGTGATTGGCATATGATGTTTTAAGGTACCCGATAGTCATTGGATGGCCTTAGATATATCCAAACCAGTAAGAGGGATGTTCATAACACCAGACCTCTAACCGTAGTAGCATGGGATAGAACGTACTTGACCATAACCCTAACTAGGAATACGACCCTTTACGGCACTCGAGGAACAAAAATAAATTCTCGCCAGGGATTTCAAAGTTGATTCTACGCACTCCAGAGTTTAAAGGTCGCTCTATATCCGTACAATAAAAGTGATGCCCTGGTGATAACGTCTAAAAAGGGTCCTATTGATGTAGTTAATAATGATTACATACAGACGAGAGAATTTTGAAGGTGTTAAAAGTAAAGGGATGATTGACGGCAATATACAGGTAATAGTTATAATTGATTGATGCCTCATTCAATATTGTCCTAATAGTTAGGCATAATAACATAAGAAACTACACCGAATTTCTCACTGCCAGTTGGATATTAATGTGTACCTAGGTTTATATCAGTCAATATTGATGTAAATTTTCAGAGCAGAGATTGATCTATGAGATAGGCAACTGTTGCTGATACCTTGCCCTTTTATATCACAATATTATTTGTTGCCGTGCGTGTCATACCGACTAAGTCAAACCACCCTTACTAGGGCCATCTTAATGGGGGCCACCCATTTCCCATACAAAATCAACAATTTCGCATATTTGTATCTAATTTAAGAAAATAGATAAAATTATATAATCCTTGATTTTAAATACGGTATTGGATTTTTACCAGGCATAAAATTTTAAAAAAATGTTAAAGCTAATATTTATAATAAAATAAATATAAAAATATACATTAATAATTACATATATAAATTTATATATAAAATTATTAAAGAATATTATTGCTTATAACTTTATTAATTAATATAATATAAATATAAAATCTATATTATTAAATAAAAAATGTTTTAATATAACTTTTAAATTTAAAACCAATTATATAACTTATTTATTTAAAAAGTTATAAACATTTATAAGGTTTTATAATAATTTAATAAAATTCTTATATAAAATTAAAATTTTAAAAATTTTAAAAATAATATTAAAAATACACTTTATTATTTTATTATTAAAACATTAGATTTTAAATATAATAAAATATATATAAGTTATTATAATTGATGGTTATATGACATTAATATAAAAGCACTTTATTAATGATAAGGTATCTTTATTATTAATAAGAAAAGAAAAAATAAAATATTTAATTTTATTAGGTAAAAGGGTTAAATATTTATTATTATTGGAATATAAAAATACGATATACTTAATTAACCTTAAATAAATATTTTTTCTTTAAATATCTTAATATATTAATCTTAATATTATTAATTTATTTATTATTATTTTATCGTTATTATTATTATTCTTATTTATGTATATATTTATTAATATTAATTAATATTGTTAAATAATAATAATATAAATTAATAAAATTAAAAAAATTATTATTGTTTTAATTTAAAAATTTTTATTGTAATAATATAAGTAATATTAATATTTTTTTTCATTTTATTTTTATAATTTATAATAGATTATAATTTTATTTTTTTATATAATCTATTTATATTTTTGGTAAATTATTACAATTTAAACCTTTTATCCACGGAATTGTTATTATTTATGTTATTAATTTTTCTTATTATATTTTAAGAAATATAAGTAAAAGGTTTAACGTAGGCGTAGGTTTACGTTATATACAATTTTATTAAATAAGAAAATATTAATAAACTGCATAAATTTTTAAACTATTTCCTTAGTTAAATATTTATACTTAATATAATATTTGATTATATGGTAGTATAATAAGAAAATATTAATTCTTAAATAATTACGTCCGAATAAAAAATAATATAAACATTTTTTACATTAATAGATTTTAAAACTATCGATAATAAAGCATTATATATATGTTTAACCAAGGAAGTAATAACCGAGTACCAGGAATAATTTAAAAAATTTATAATAAATAATTTTAAAATATTATTAAAATAATTACAATTAATATTATTAAACTGGTGCTGGTGTATCAAGTGATTTTGATCTTGATCATGTGATTATATTCTTAGTATAAGTACTATTTATGGTTGCACATACCTATTTTACATAGTATTATTTATTTTTAATATAAGTTATTCCTTTTTATCATTAATCATTATTTAAAAATCCTTGATATTAGGTTTAATAAGGTTTGATCCAAGGCTAAGACGTTTAAGTCTTGTTTATTATAAAACGTATTAATATAAAAAAATATTTATATAAGAAAATATAATATTAATCACGTAAAAGTATTTATTAATTTTATATTATTACGTAATTTATTTATATAAAACGTTATCAAATTAGAAGTAGTAAAAATAAAATGGCTTAACGTATTAACGTGGAAAGTTTCGGTTTATAAAATCGAAAAAAAACTAATATACCCCATTATACGCGCGTTTATACAATTATAAGCGTTAATATAATAATATTAAGTAATTTTTAACCTATAAACGTTAATACATATAATTACACCTATAAGATAAATTTTAATATAAAATATTATACCTTAAACTTTACCTTTTTTTAACTTATAATATATATTATTTATTTTATAATTAAAATAAATATTACCCTTTATTTTTAACTAACCTTCGTTAATTTTTAATGTTTTATTATTAACTTAATAATTAAGATTTACTTTTTAACCCTTTAACCAACCATCGTTTTTAACATATATCTTTTTTCCTTTTTTCCATACACTTAATTTAAATCTATTATTATAAAATATACTAAATTATTTATAATAATTAACATAATTTTAATAAAGTAATAAATAAGACTTAAATGTCTTAGCCTTGGATCAAGCCTTATTAAACTTGATATCAAGGATTTTTAAATGATGATTGATGATGAAAAAGAATGACTTATATTAAAAGTGGATGATATTATGTAAAATGGGTGTATGCGACTATAAATAGTATTTATACTAAGAATATAATCATATGATCAGGGTTAAGGTCACTTGATACACCAGCACCAGTTCAATAATACCTAAGATATTAAGAAGGTTATACCACAAGGTTAATGATCAATAGCCTTAATAGCCTTAATAGCCTTAATAGCTTAAGCAGTGCGAAATTTTTTTTTTAAAGCTTAAGATTCGATCCCCACTCGTGTTATTTTGTTTCTTCTTTTTTCAAGTCTTAACCCTTATTTCGTAAGTCGAATTTAATCTCGTAACCTTGATAAAATTCGAAAAGAAGTTATAAATTGGTATTAATATATTAAATAACTTTAACCTTAATTATATAATTATATTTTTAATATAAATACTATTTATAATCGCATATACCCATTTTACATAATATTATCCACTTTTAATATAAGTTATTCCTTTCTTTTATTAATTTCATCATTTAAAAGTCCTTGATATCAAGTTTAATAAAGCTTGATTTAAGGTTAAAACATTTAAGTTTTATTTAATATCTTTTTTACGAATAATATTTTATAATTTAAAATGTATAATAAAATATTTTATTAAAGTATAATTATATTTAAATCTTATATAATTTACGAAATTAAAAGGAAAAATACGTTAATATCATATAAAAAATTATAATTTATAATATAAAGTTATAAAAACCCCGATAAAAATTTTATTATAATATATATTTTAATAATTTAATACGTTAATTAATATTTAATATTAGTTTTAACATTTATATTATAATAATAAGATATAAAGGTAATAATATAAAATATTATTATAATATATATATAATTTAAAACCTTTATATAAAAAATAATATACGTATATTTACCTTTAAAATTAAAAAGTAAATATCTTAAAAAAATATTATTACAAATGGTTAAATTTTTATATAAACTTGTAAAATCAAATATATATTAATTTAAAACTTATTTTAAATATTATTAAAAAAAAATTAAATATAACTTTATTAACATTTAACCTTTACTTATTAATTGTAAAATTAAATTAATTATTTAAAATTATAAATTTATAAATAAATAATATATTAAATATTAATATAATAGAGTTTTTAACCGAAAAAAATAAGGTTTTTATAAAGATAAATGTTAAAATAAAACTTTAAAAGGTTTTTGATGGTCGTGTGACACTGACATAAAGGCACCTTACTGATGATAAGGTGCCTTTATCGTAGATAAGGGAGGAAGAGATAAGATACCCGACTTTACTGGATATAGGGGTTGGATATCCACTATTATTAGAATATAAGAACATGCTATACCTAGCTAACCTTAGATAGATTCTTCCCTCCTTAAACATCTTAATACACCAGTCTTAACACCATTAATTTACTTGCTATTGCTTTATCGTTATTATTATTATTCCTATTTACGTACGTACCTACCAACAGTTTTAAAATTAAATATAATTGAAGACTTTAACGGATTATAAATTATAATTTATGAAAAAACAATTTTTATTATTTAAAAAGGATAAATTAAAAAATTAAAAAAATTAAACTTAAAAATACTTAATATAATTAAGAAATTTATAAAATAATGTATAAAAAATGCTTATATTATATCCATTTATTAACCCGAAATAATCTTCGATTACTTTATAATAACGTAACATATAAAACTTAAATTAAAAAAAACTAAAATCTTTAACGCAAAGATTAAATGATAAATAAATTATAAAAATCGAAATTTTAAATATATAAAGTTAAACCTTTAAAACCTATGTTTATACGTTTTTATAAACGGCTTATTTATTAATAATAAAAATATAAGCTTTTAAATCAGTTATATTATAATATTTAACAATAAAAGATCCATAAATTATAATAATAAAATATAATTTATTAACAATATTATTTATTAATTATTTATTAAATACAAACGCGTTATACGTAACGTATTTACTAATAAAATTTATAAAATAATATAAGATTTTAATATAAATTATATTATTTATAATATTATTAATATTATTTTAAATTAATTAAATTTTTTAATAATTTCTTTTATTTTATATATAAACTCTTTTTTGTTATACCAATACCTTATTTAAATAGGTAATATTAACGAAAAAAAACTAATAATTAATTTTATAACTTTAAAATAATTATATAAAAATAAAAAAATTAATAATATTTAATAAATATATAATAATTATAATTTAATTAATATAATAATAAAGACGTTTTTAAATAAGATTATAAGAATATTAATAAAAGATAATCAAATTAATTTACGTTTAAAAAAATAAATAAAACGTAAGAAAATTAAAAACAACATTAAATTAATATAATAATAAATTATTAAAGCCAATTATTAATATTAATTTAAATATAAATTATTATAAAAAATAAGGAAGGATATATTAAAAATAAAATAAAATAATATATATTAACGCAATTTTATTTATGTAATAATTTTTAATTTAAATTATTACGATTTTATCTTTTAACTATTATAAATATATACAATTATAAATATATAATGGCATATATTTAAACTAATACAAATATACGTTAATATAAATCTTAAGGTTTTATTTATTTAATTATATTTTACAATTAATTAATCGCAAAAAAAAAAAAAAATAAATAATAATTATATAATATTAACATAAAAACATTTTATTAATGATAAAATACCTTTATTATTAATAAAAGAGAAAGAAATAAAATATCCGATTTTATTAGGTAAAAGGATTAAATATCTATTATTATTGAAATATAAAAATATAATATATTTAATTAACCTTAAATAAATACTTCCCTTTTTAAATATCTTAATATACCAGTTTTAATACCATTAATTTACTTATTATTACTTTATTATTATTATTATTATTCTTATTTACGTACGTACCTACCAACAATAATAATCGCAAAGTAAAACATAAGAGATTATATATTTTTATCTATTTTCTTAAATTAATTATAAACATGTAAAGTTGTTGATTTTGTATGGGAAACAGGTGGCCCCCACTAGGATGGCCCCAGTAAGGGTGGTTTGACTTACCGCTTTGCATTAGTAGTTGTCAGGGGACAAGTGAGACTAGTATGAATTAGGCATAGATCTACATAGAGCACATATATAAGGGGGCGCGAAGCGCCCTCGAAAGAGAATAGAAGGTTAAGCGTTAATAGATTCATACTACTATGCGGCTACTATACAGCAGCAAAGCTGCTGCTTCTAACATTCACTCTACGTATGACATCCATCAAGGGGTATCTCTGACAGTAGTCTGGGTTGAAACCCAAAACGTGGCATGTTTTCTACATAACTAGATAAACGGCACAATATAACTTTCTTACGAGGGACCTATCTAAATAGGCGCATATCATGGTTTGGAACGATATTATCCAACTAAAGATAACGCTGTCCGTTCATAATATATAGGAAGGGGGAAGGTTCTCTACCTACGTTGAACTGCTCAATTCAGTAGAACAAATTTGATATAATTCGAGATCGTAGTAAATATATACTTTTCTCATATAGAATTGAATAAGACATCCGAGTTACTCAAGTAATTATATGCGTCTTACTTCTTACGTAGACCTTCTGGGTTGAGTCAATACCATAACTTAATAAATACCTAGGTACCTACCTGGGCGGTAGTTTTACCATATTATTACTTAAAGCATGGCATAGCTCAAGAATATTTTCTTATTGAACATAGCCGAACGCAGATATATATGACCTCAAATCTATTGGAGGAGGACGAATTCAACCTCCACCACCTACACTGTATTATAAATCACACATATGTTACAATGTAAAACGCCACCGGTGTACAGAAACTCATTCCAAATTTGTGACAGTTCCATGAGGGGAAGCTTTAGCGATGAGGAGGGGAAAGCCTCGACGGCAAGGATTATGTAAACGTGATATGATGATGGTTTTTATTACTCCGATATATGTAATACCTTATATTTCCCCGCCGTGTAGTAGAACGTTATCCTTACCTCAGTTGACCCTCACATCTCGTTCTTGACAATTATCCCCCTCGTCACTTATAATTCCAGCGCAGCTTTTATTGAATACTACACTGTGATTTATTGATATGGATCTTCCTCTGAGAAAAGACTTGCGGCCAAAATCCGGTCAGCCCGAAGATGCAGCATGGATATGGGGAAGCGATGATGAAGTTCGGTACCTCCTATTTCAAGTTAATGAATCGTAAAATATGTAGCCATCCAGCTGACTTCATCTAAAGCTAGGTAGATTAAACCTTCAAACGCCGGAAAGGGTGAAGAAAGCACTGGAGACCATCTCTTCTGGAGAGGTTATCCCTCTTGGGTGAGTAAAATGTCGAATATAGTTCAGACAATGATTAGTCTGAGGTATAGAAATACTTGCTTACTAATTCGTACATATAGTCTCCCATTCGACCAGGTTGCACCGCCATGCTATGAACGACAGGTTTTTAAACATTCTATCCATGCTTTGGGAGAGATCGGATTTGACGACCTCTATGACATGAACCCTCAAAGCACTTCTCAATGGGACGGGTTTCGTCATGTAAGTTTCGGCCGAGCATCTGGTGGGCTTTATCAGCACAGTGATTAATCCAGCGCAGTTCTCCCATATCCCTTCGGGGTATTTCTATAACGGGGTAAGTTTATTCATCACAACCGCTACGTATGTCACGTAGTCTGAATCGTGTCGTCCAGACCACCGCCAAGGATATTCACGGTGAAAATGCTTCGACCAAATGCGGCATGCAAGCGTGGGCGAAGCACGGCATTGCGGGCAGAGGTCTACTTCTCGACTATGGCCGCTGGGCCGAAGCCAGAAATATCAAACCAGTATATTATGACAACTTCAAAATTACTCATAGCGACCTTGTCAACGTGGCAGAGTCGCAAGGAATCGATCTGAGACCTGCCGCACAAGGAGGCGACATTCAGATTGGCGATATCCTAGTCGTCAGATCTGGGTTTCTGAAGAACGCAAACTCGCTTACATACGAGGAGAGGGCTCCTCGCCACCTCGGGAAGAATAAATTCGGGCCTCACGATGAACAGCGCTATATAGGTGTGGATCAGAGTGAGGAGATTCTCGACTTATTGCATGACTCCTACTTCTCGGCTGTAGCTGGAGACCATCCCGCCTTTGAAGCGTGGCCATCAGAGAAAGGTATGTTGGTATTTCCGCTGGATAAACTCATGGGAAAAGAGAGGATTGCTGATGCAATTTACCTCATGATAGATTACTATCTTCACGAGAAGTTGTTGGCACTTTGGGGGGTTCCCATCGGTGAGCTTTGGGACCTCGAGAAGCTTGCAGAGAAATGCGTCGAGAGGAAGCGATGGACATTCTTCCTCTCAAGTGCTCCTAACCATGTAAAAGGTACGTAGTGTGGGGTTGGATAAGAACGGGGTTGTTAACTAATAACGAACTTATAGGAGGAATATCAAGCACTGCGAATGCTGTAGCTATCGTATGAGACGGATGAATCAACCTAGATGTCTTACATTTAGTCCTTCTTCCTTCTTCCATTTTTTCTGGACGGTATAGTGCTTGTGAAAATAAGGCTAGCTCAAGGTGATAATATTGAGTGGCTGATCAGTTTCATGCCCCTTGAATGTACGTAGCCGTGATAGTGGAGATGGATAAATGAATATGGCAATATCGCAGCGAGACCTGTAACGTCTTATCCACATGTGACTTTTGTTATCGGGCTGACCAAGCTCAACGCTTGGACCAATTCAATTCAAGGTGCAAGGCAGCGCGAGCTTTCGTCGCCTCGCAGCCGCCTTAAGCTTCCCTCTATCATCATCGCCTTAAATATTCTACCACGAACTATCTAACACATCAAATATAACCCACCAAAGGTCCGCCCTCGCACATCACTCCGAAATTATTGCACTTTCCTCCGATTGGATTATACGTTAGCAGTAAATTTCAGAAATCATGGCGGACGCAGCTCTGAAGCCTGAGAAGGACTTCAGTAAGGAAGCTGACGTACAAATCGGCGAAGCAGAGAAGCTTGCCAAGGTGCACATACCCGGGTTAGAAATATTGGAATATAAGTTGCTAATGCATAGTTATAGAATGACATTCAAGCGGCTATCGAGAAGCTTACCATTTTCGAGAAGCAAACCCGACAGGTGAGCTATTCTCTCTAATCTGTAATCGTCTAGCACCACTAACTACAATACTTTATAGGCTTCCGATCTCGCCTCTACATCCCGAACTCTAATTGCCATATGTACGATCTGTAAAAATGCCGGAAACTGGAGTTTGCTCAACGACCAGGTCTTGGTCCTCTCCAAGAAGCATGGCCAGCTTAAACAAGCTATCACCAAGATGGTTCAGACCGTTATGGATTTCCTCGACGCTACCCCGAATCTAGATACTAAGCTATCGGTAATTGAGACCCTGCGTACCGTGACCGAGGGCAAGATATTCGTCGAGGTCGAGCGCGCTCGCGTGACTAAAATCCTGTCGGACATCAAGAAGGAGCAGGGAGATCTTAAGTCCGCTATGGATATCCTCTGCGAATTGCAGGTAGAAACATTTGGTTCAATGGAGAGACGGGAGAAGACGGAATTCATACTTGCCCAAGTCGCATTATGTATCGAGAACGGCGACTGGACCCAAGCTAGCATTCTTAGTCGCAAGATCAGCACCAGATACCTATCTCGAAAGCCGAAGAAGACAGCGGAACAACTAGAGAAAGATAAGAAGGCCCGCGAAGAGAAGCTTAAGCGAGGGGAGGAGGTTCCCTCCGAGCAGGAGGACGACACTACCGACTTAAAGCTGGCCTATTATGGACAACAGATCACTCTAGCGAAGCACGACGATAAGTATCTTGATGCCTGCAAGCATTACAGACAAGTGTTGGATACCGAGGCCGTAGAAGAGGACCCCTCAAAACTACAACCCGTACGTTGTTCCCATGTGTTTATCAAGGTAACTTTTGCTAATGCCAATTAGGTCTTGCAACGCATCATCTACTTTGTCATACTCGCTCCCCATGACAACGAACAACATGATCTTCTCCAACGTGTCTTCCGTGATACCCGAAACACCCAAATCCCTGTCGATGCGGCGCTTCTCAAGCTATTTACAGTACACGAGCTCATGCGATGGCCAGAGGTTGCGAAGCAGTACGGTCCTCATCTCTGTGGCACTGATATCTTCGACGAAAGTCCAAACCAGTCGGGCGACGAGAAAGCCCACCAGCGATGGCAGGATCTTCGCAAACGGGTTATCGAGCACAACGTTAGAGTTATCGCGAAATACTATACCCGCATTGGCATGAAGCGCCTGACTCAGCTGCTCGACCTGACGGAGGATGAGACCGAGAAGTATATTAGCGAACTGGTGTGCTCCAAGACGGTCTTTGCCCGCATTGATCGGCCAGCAAGTATAGTCAGCTTCGCCAAGCCCAGAGATGTCGATGACGTCCTCAACGAGTGGAGCCACAACATGAAGAGCCTACTCGGTTTACTGGAACGTGTAGATCATCTCATTACCAAGGAAGAGATGATGGCGAGGATCCAGCCTGGAGTGAAGGAAGGCAAGGAGAAGAAGGGTAAGAAGAAGGCGTGATAGACGATTTATGACTCTGTTTTGGGGAGTAATTCTGTCGGGGCTGGGAGAGGGGCTTGGTTTCGAGAGGAGCCGCACAGCACAGCACAGGTTTGCATCAAAAGTATGCGAATGTATAATATTTAAATTAGGAGGCACATAATGCCCGTGAAGAACAGGGTTGCCTTCTATGTCTTGATTCTACTATACGTGTAGTCGTGCGTATGATGCCCCCATACCTAGTTTCTAATCCCGGGTCAATCTCTCTTGTAGAGTCTCTAAATTTTAGACCTCAACGGCGTAGCCCTACCTACCTATTCACAGCGACCGTTTACTCGCAGCCTCCGGGTCCTCATACCGCTGCCTTAACCAGCCTGCCAAAGCCATAGCCCAGTCCTTGGCAACAGGCACGTAGTGACCCCCTGGATGCACAATGACCGTAGGATCCTTGCACCGGTCCACAAGACCCTTGCTCCGGCTCTCCTCGACAACCGTGTCCAAGCTACCTAGGAAATGCAGCGTCGGCGTCGTGATAGGCGGCTCATATAGCCATCGTAGCGAGTCTATCGGCGCGTAGAAACCAGAGTACACGACAGAGAAGCTCAGCGCTTGGTTATTGTTCGCTCTGCGCAGCTCGTTCACCCAGGACCAGTCTGCTTCTTCAGGTTGCGAGGACGGGTCCGAAGGGGATGCTGCGTGGGACGAAGACGGCGGGTCTCGATATGGTTGCTCCAACGCTGCAGCCACAAGCGCAGCCACCGCTCCTCCCTGGCTAAACCCACATACACCATCAATACCTCCCGCTTTGGCAATCTCAGCCGCAATACTCTGCATTCCCTCCTCAAACCCGCGATACGCACCCGTCGCCTCGTCCTTGCGGAACCAGGCCCAGTTGTCGGATTCTTCGTCGTCTTCGTCCTCCTCCGGGGGGACGTACCCCGGAATGTCGGAGGGACGCAGGCGATGCGGGGCCGTGGGGAAAAGGAGCGTTGGGTGTAGGTTATAGGGCGCGGGGGATAGGGCTTTGATGAGGAGTTTGGAGAGGGCTTTGGTTTTGGAGGAGAAGAGGGGCCCAGATTGGGTGTAACCGTGGAGCATGAGTATTTTCAGCTCGGTTTTGCCTTTGGGAATTGAGGGCTTGGTTTGGGTCGGTGTACCCCGGGGTGCGGCCGGTGTTGACATGGTGAGGGACCGGGTTGGGTGACGGGGGAACGTTGCTAATGTAAAGTGGATTGTGCGAGGATGGGATGGGATGAAAAGTTTCATAGAAGTGGTATAGAGTTAACCTAGTTCTGTTAGTTAGTTAACTAGTTATAGGTTATGTTATAGAGTTATGTAAATGAAGGAGGCCCTTGCTTATTCGTGGGTTCAGGTGTGTGTAACGTTGTCTGATAAGAAGATGTATGTCTTGAGGTAAATTCCATAGGATTCAAAATTGACCTAACATGGCTGGTATAGGTACCTAATATTTGTCATGCAGCCACTATGACATTAGGACAAATATTGGAACATTTATTGATTAATTGGCTTGGTATAGAGAAACGTATCCAGGGAATTGACAATCTTTACTCCTTTTTAACATACCCGATTATACATGAAATATGGTGAAAGTTAGTTCCTTTTGAAAATCTGAGCTCCCAAGTCTATTTTCCTTTAACCTACTTGCTACAGCAAAAGACTAGTCGTCTCGAAAGGCTAGATATAATGTGATCATCGATAAGTAAACTTGCATGGGTATTACGGTAAACTTGCAACTCTAAGTGTAAAGCCAGCGATATATTTCAAACTAGTGAATTGAGTTGAGCCGTTAGGACTGCGGCTATGCTTGAAATTGTGATGGGCACAGATCGTACATATCCCAAGTCTGGGGTAGTCATTCGACCACGGCACGAATGGATAGATTGTTGGACATAGCCCTCGATTTAACGCGAACTCACGATCTATGATACAGTCCCGCCTTGCTCATTTATCGGAATGACTCGACCGTCTATAATGCTTCTCGCCCGGGATAGTTTGTCGCGTTCTCCAAGTTTGTCACCTTCATTCTAGTGTCCACCAGACTTTGCGTTCGGATTGCGAGGGTCGTTCTTCCACTCGTCGGCTATTGAAGAATTGTCAATTATTTCTGCTCCTCTGCCCTCTGCCCTCTAGGGGCTATAGTCAACACATACACTTCATCATGGCATTTTGCAGCGAGTTGACACCGTAAGCGATGATTAGGCCTGTTCGTCTGTTAGGCAATTATTCGCGCATGCTAATTTTCGCATAATATCAATCGTGGTTTATCATACCAGCGGCGAAGAAGGGTGCATAAGGCCGGACTATCGATATGTTAGTAGCTGTCGCGAGTTATGCAATCGGAATCCGGGCTGCGGAGTCAATTGACGTACGAACTGGCGCCGGGAACTTCTTGAGAGGGGTAACACCGAGCCAAGACATCTTGAATGTGTATTCGGAGGATTTGAGTAGTAGACGGCGTCGAGATTGGAGATGATTGAGGTTGAGGTTGTAAAGCGAGTGGTTTTCTTCTGCCGCTAAGCCTGAACTTGGCGATTAACTGTTGCCTTATCGAGCTGTGTTATGTAAGCCTGGTGCCTAAGGCATGAAGTACTGCCCGTACTGTACATACCCTGTCGGCCTACGGTCAATGGTTTTACCGCTGAATTTAGGTGACATCATTGCACAGTGTTACACCTTTGGAGATCATGTCCACATTTGTTAAGCAGCAGTATGTATCAAAAGCTGGGGAAATCGAACTTACAACCTTCAAAGCTTCCCTCCCGAATTCAAATGCGGGGAGTAAAGTAACCAATTAATCGAAACCGCTACTTCCTACCTGCCGCTTGCTACCCTCCACCATCGACCTTGCTTCTTCTCTCCGACCAGTTGTGCTTTGCCTTTCGATATCCAAACTGCTCCGCGGAACCTCCATAACTGCCTGTTCCTTAGAGGACTAAATTCGTCTAGACTTCCCCGCGAAAAACCACTATATCCGTGCAGGGGTTTTCACACACAGATACACCATTCCCACACCTCAAGCTTGATCATATCACCAACCAATCCCGAGATTAGCATTCCTCACCACCTTCACTCATTTTCTTATCGGGTTGCGTCAAATTCGACGCTGCTACCAAGTTTCTCAGACCCTTCTTCTCGAATCCTGCTCTTACGAAATCCCCCCACTTCAACCCGTTCCTGTTTATTCTTTTTACACCCCCCCAGAAATATCTCAAACTCAAGCAACCGTCATGTTTTCCCGACGTCTCGCGCGAGCAGCAGCGGTGGGAGCTCCGCGTTCGCTTCGAGCGTTCAGCTCCACCGCTGCTAGCCAGCGTACGCCGACACTGGCCGACATCACACCCGAGGGTGTCGACTCGTTCAACTCGAAGCAGAAGGAGTTCCGCGAGCAGTTGGTCAAAGCACATCAGGAGCGCGAAGCAAGTAGGTTCACTAAAAATTCTTCTACTAATGATTCTTCGTCTGCTGCCCGAGAAACCTCCCAAGGCTTGGGCTCATTAAGCACCCATACAGGACAGCGAGCGGAGGCATCAACTAAGGAACCCGAGCGACCCGATAATCTTCTATCCAGGGTTATCTACGGAACAAAAGAAGGACGCGAACTGGATGCTCAACTCGAAGCAAGTTTTTCCGCGGTTCTGGCTCGTGGCAAGTACGTTCACTCGATCGTGTTTCACGAGGTGCAGCCGGACAAGGTGGACGAGTATGTTCAGTTGGTTGGCCAATGGTATCCGCGCATGGCTTCCTTGGAGGATAATAAGGTTCATCTCGTTGGAAGCTGGCGAACCGAGGTGGGAGATTGTGATACATTCGGTAAGTTACGGCTTGGGCCTCAATTCAAGATTAGCTACAATATGCTAATGACGTAAATGCCAAGTACACATTTGGGAGTACCAGCGTTACCAAGGATACCATCAGTCCCTAAATTCCATCTCCCGCCACCGCGACTTCGCCGAATTCGACAAAAAGCTCAAGACACTCATCAAGTCTAAGAATACGTCGATTATGCAAGAATTTTCGTTCTGGCCAACAACTGCACCACGCCAACTAGGCGGTTTATTCGAGTTACGTTCGTACACTCTTCACCCTGGAAACCTGCTGGAGTGGGAAACCCACTGGCGACGAGGCTTAAAGGCGCGGAGACAAGTTATGGAAGGTGTAGGTGCTTGGTTCGTACAGATAGGCGATCTGAACACAGTCCACCATCTTTGGCAATTTGCGAACCTCGAGGAGCGTAAAGTTCGGCGAGAGGAGAGCTGGAAGCAAGAAGGCTGGGCCGAGACGGTCCATAAGACTGTTCCTCTAATCCAGTCCATGAAGTCGAGGATCCTTGTCCCACTGCCATGGTCACCCGTGGCATAATTTCTGCAGATAAGGGATGATTGCGTTAATATCAGCCGATTTTTAAACCTACCTAAGCATCTGATATGGAGAATTGGAGTTTGGAGGCGATTGTTTCTTTATGTAGTCGATTCGCCGTGTTGGCGCGAGGGCAGCTGCGGGAGTGATTGTACTTTTACTGCCGAGATCGGGATATTCATGATGAGAGCTTGAAGCTGAAAATTACGCCTTGAGGACTATGGCCACATTTCACTGATACTAATACGAAGCAATTCGAGTTTTCTTCTTGGAGGCAAAGTCAAAGCCAAAGTCGAGATGAAGTTCCAAGTGTTTATCGTGATTTGATTGTCTTGTGGTTTTAAACTTGTTACCCTATTAGGTACCTAGCTAATGCTGCTGTCCTTCATTTTCATCCAGGGAGACTCCACCCCCTATTCCAACAATGCATATAGCTCTGCCGTACTAGTCTATTAGCAGGAGATAATTCTGTGATGCCATATTCTCCCGCGTGGCTTTATTCTTCCAAATCTTGTTCCATGACGGCGGCCAAATTACGCCGTGCCAACCCCAACGTATTGCCCAAAGCGCTCAACTTTGCGGATAGCGAAAGGAGGCTAGGGTCCGCGCTCTCAACACGCACCTTCTCGCGAACATATACCTCGACTTCTTTCTTATTCCCCCCGTTATCCTCACCACCGGCATTACTACCACTACGACTACCATGATGCTCGGGGGCGGACGTGCCGCCATCAATTCGCGACTCGTCGTCACATCGGTACGAGAACACGCGGTCGGCTTCATCGTGCTCGATGCGCCGTGTTGTACCAATAGCAAGCGCGAGCTTTGTTCCGAAATTTACGGGTGCATCGGCGGGTTCTAGGGCGCGCAAATATATGACCAGACAGGCATCTTGAATCGTTACGTAGAGAGATAGGTTGCGACTAAGCGGGGGCGTGAAATGGCCTAGTGACACTGAACTTGTCGTCCACGTGGTATCAAGAGGAACTTTCTGCTCCGGTAGATGCTGGCGTCCGGGCACCTCATGGCTCGCCGTAGAAGCACTAGTCGATGGGCGCGCAGGCGGTTGAGACGGCCCTTTGACTAACGCTGCTGCTTCCGCAATATGTAGTGCTAGCAGCCGTAATTGGGAGGCGAGGTACGGCGCAGAGGGCGGGGGCGTAGTTTGATTCTGGTGCTCTTCTAGGGCGAGGCATAACTCAAGCGAGAGCGAGAGAAGAGCGTCGAGACGGATTAGAGCGGGGACACGGACGGGACGCGAGGGGTCGAGGGATATAGTCTGTGGTGGGAGAGTTCGCAGTCTAAGATGGACTAAGCCGCGCACCAGGCGCGCGCCCACACGTGTCGTGTGTCCCTTTACGGTCTCGTTGCGTGGCGTTGTTAGCACGAGCGTACTACCTGCAGAGTCGGCGGGAGCTAGTAGTGCGCAGCAGTCTTCCAAGCCGCGCTTGATTTTCTCGAGGGTCGCACGCAGGGATATTAGGAGCCAGGTTAGCTCGCGGGCCTGTTTGGGTTGCCGCTGTGGTGAGTATATAGTTGTAAGAGAGTGGTACGGGGGGACGAGGACGAAGTCGTCTTCGGTGAGGAGCATGGTATTTTATATACCGACTTGGGATTTGGGACCTGATAAGGGGGACATGATTGGAAGCAAGGGAATGAATGAATGGGGGTGATAGGATCGTACCTGAGTGGCATCTTCTTGGATTTTAAGCTCAGCCAGCGAGATGGGAGGCCAGATCTCAACGGACATTGTGGACGCGAGACGGCATAGGCAACCGCATTTCAACGGGCCATCTGATGGTATCGTGAGGTGTACGCTTTGGAGCTATGATGATCGGGCTGAGCGAATGTGGTGGTGTATAAGCTGTAGCCTTGCTAATGCGTGTAAGTGGGGGATTTCGACTGATGATGCTTGACTTGCATAATGTTGGATTGGACGATGGCGGATACCTAAGCTAAAGATAGCGATGTGGGTCTGTCCCTAGCTGCAGGCCCCCACGTCATTTTTATACTTTCTAGCTTATGGATAATTGAATATCAGATGCTATCAACTATATCTCCAAATCAACTGCTTCTTTATTGTCAACACGACGGTGTTTTCGAATGTGACTACTATCTCCAAGGTTTTCATGAGTATGAAGTGATAATTAAAAAAAATTTTACTAATAAAAAAATTAAAAAAAGGAACTTGGTAGATACCTTAGGTACACAACTGAACCATCATAAAAATGGCTACCGAACAGCCAGAGACCGTTTCGCAGGTGCCTGAACAGCCCACAAAGCTAGCAAAGCTGCCACCTATACCAAAAGGTTAGATCAGAAGCTATAGTTACCTCAATAATCTCTCCATTGTACTAATTGATAATACCAACTCAGGGGCTACCGTCCGAAGACGTCCCATCCCCACGCGCACACCCTCCACACGCGCCTCGAGACGCATCTACATAACTCCCAAAACGCCCTTCCGCTCCGTAACAGCGCGCGTGCGCAAACAACTCGACAAGAATCTACGCGAAGCATCAGCATCCAATAGAGCCTTCACCAACAGGCTCGCCAGCAATAAGAACGCATCCTTGGACGAGCGTATCCGTGCTATCCAGCGACAGTCTGCCTCGAAAAATAGCGGCAGCGGGATCGGGCTCGAAGACTCGGGCGAAGTCGTGGTGCTGGGTACGGGGCGCGCTATCCAGAAGGTCGTTGAGGTCGCCATGTTCTTCCAGAAGCAGCAGGATTGTATTGTGCAGTTGAAGACCGGGAGCGTGGGCGCTGTGGATGATGTTGTGTTGGAGGGGGAGGAGGAGTGGGGGGGTGAGGGAGAGGAGAGGACCAGGATGATGAGTTCTCTTGAGGCGTCTATCAAGTTGAGGTGATGACAGGATTTCTCGCGAGGAACGATGATGCTATTTTCCGGATTCGGGCCCTTTAGGAGTATGGCCCATCCGATCAGCAGTTTTCCTACGGTATCATTACATCCTTAGCGTTATAGACGCGCCGACGACAATTATTCGCCGAGGTCGGTTCTAATTATTATAAATGGGCGATACAGTAAAATAGTAGGACTAGAGGTACGGATCAACCACCAGCACAAGCGTGGCGGCGAAGTCTTAAAGCCGGAAAAATCCGTTAACCTCTAAGGTTATTCATTACCCTCAGAAGTAATGAGGGAATATACATTAAACCACCTCAGCTTACATTCCGTATGTAATGCATACTGGGCTCCTGTTCTAGTCATACGAGCTAGATGTTTGAGGCGAAAACATGCGATAAGGCCAACAATGATACGGTCACAGCATCATGGACTTGGGACTTACTAGCAAGAACAGCGGAGTAAGAAGAGTATCGAAGCTATTATAAGTATTAGAAAGAACAGATTGATAGGATCCGTCCAGCGAGGCGACTTGACCGACAAAGATGATAGGAATTCATTCTATCCGAACACATTCAAAATATATAACATCACAAGTTACTTATAGAAGGAGTGCTGGGGCCGTCTAGGTTTGATATTAGCACCATGTATTAGCAACTCAAAAATCGATGTAATATTCCTTGGGTGCATATGGATGAAAGCCGAAGAATTTGTATCAATTTAAGGTAAATCATATTAAAATAAATAAATTACAATGCTTCTATCATTAACTAAGAAATTTATCGCGCGTAATTCTCGTTCCCGTTTCGGCGATCGAGATCTCGGTCCTATAATTGGAGACTGATCGGCTGCTGATGGGCACCACGGCGTTAATGTCGTGATCGCATTTAGGACTAAACCGAAGACACTAATTCGAAATCAATTTATGCTAATCCCCCTCTTTCTATATAAAATAGTTTCATAGATACCTAGGTAGATATACTGTTAACAATCGCGATGACATCCTCCCAGCCTTCTCCCTCTTATATCATCGTCGGGGCCGGCGTCTTCGGCACCTCGACGGCACTACATCTTGCCACTAAATTTCCAGATTCATCCGTAAGACTTATCGACCGCGACGCGCACACAGCGCAGCGCCGCGTTGCCGCATCCTGGGACTGGAATAAGGTCGTGCGTGCCGATTACCGGGACCCGGTGTACTGTCAGCTCGCGCTCGAAGCGCAGGACATCTGGCGCGCAGACCCCCTGTGGCGCCCGTTCTACCACGAGACGGGCATCTACTGGATTAGTCGCACGGGGTTCGCGCGTCAGGCTTTGGATAACTATGCTCGGCTAGGACGGGCTACGGATAGTATCCGTGTCGTGACAGTGGAGAAGGCGAAGGGATTGTACGGGGGGATTTTTGACGGGGCGGATTATACAGGGGTTGAGAACGTGCTGGTCAATGAGACGAGTGGGTGGGCGGATGCTAAGGGGGCACTGCAGGCTGTAGCGGAGAAAGCGGTTGAAAAGGGAGTTAGATTCGTTGAGGCTGAGATTGAGGAGTTAGTGTTTGGGGAGGATGGAGAGTGCGTTGGGGTTTTGACCAAGGACGGAGAGAGATATGCCTCTACCCATACGATATTGTCGACTGGCGCTTTTACACCGAAGTTGCTGGATAGAGTGGCTGAGAAGACCGGGCGAGATGAGTTCCTTGCTGGGGACAGGATGATTGCGGCGGGAGTAACGACTGGGCTGGCGAAGCTTGACGATAGCACTGCGGAGGAATTCTCGGGGATGCCAGTTGGTATTCAAGAGAATGATCCCGAGAGAGGTGAGCGGTCAACTATTTTCTTCTTTCTTCTTGATAGCACTAACTAGCAATACAGGTGCAAGTAATGGCGCCTTACCCCTGACCGAAGACAAGAAACTGAAGTGGTGGGGTCAGTGCATATTCAGGAACACACAGACGATGCCTTCTGGACGTCAAATCTCCGCACCGCCAGCTTCCACGGACTACTCGCAATGGACGGTTCCGAATACTCTGGTGCAAGACCTCGAATTTGCCAACAAAGCCACATTTGGGAAGCGCGGAGAGGCGTGGAAGATTTCAGAACATCGCATATGCTGGTACGCGATTATTATAGCTTGTTATTTCTTCCCCTTGTTATATACCCATCTAAGTACATATAAATTACGCTTAGAAACTAACCCCTGGACGCTAGGGATGCGGTCACACCAAGCCAGGATTTTATCATATCGCCTCATCCAGCTTCTAAGGGACTATACGTCGCGACCTGTGGTTCGTTTCACGGGTGGAAGTTCTTCCCCATCATTGGTGAGTATGTTACGAGGATGTTAGACGGGTCCCTAGAATCGGAGCTGCGACGGCGATGGGCATGGAACCGTGATCGTCCGGACCCAACAGGGAATAAAGTCTGGCCTGTGAAAGAGTTGAGAGATTTGTGATATTATTTTGGTCGTGGCTTGTAGGAAATGAGCAATACGGATTCAGGTAGGTAGTCAGGATCGAGATCACTTCGACCGCGATTTATATGATATATGATATCAGCTAACCTAGTTGAGTGGCACACGGTGTAACTCGTGTGAATCATGTCCTTATAGATCATGTAGCTACGGTAACTGATGCGCATATATAAACATAGCGTAGATATACTAGATCTTAATCTCCATCAAGTCGTCACCATTTTAGGAATCACATCCAAACGACTCAATATTGCTATAATAAATCACCTCGAAAACGCCAGCATTGCGCAGTGCCTACCAGATGGAAATCTATCTAGCTCGGATCTCTCAGCATGATGACGGTACATTTTACGTGGAGCGGAAGCAGGCGCCGATTGACGCAGAGCACTACGTCGCCATCTCTCACGCATGGGGCCACCCGGAGACAATCGAAGAAGTCCACATCAAGGGAGTAGGATTGTTAAGCTCAGCCCAGGCAAACCATATCTTCTATTTATTCTACACTGGCCCGACGTGTGCGGTACCGGGTGATTCTGGCTGGATCTCCTTTGTATTGACCAGAGCGACGGATCGCCTATCAACATTTCAGATCAACTTATGGCTATCCCGGCCATTTATAGACATAGCATCATCATCGTCGTACTTATCGAGTCGCTCGTATGTCGCGAATGGGTTGGTGATGTTACTAACGCCGCATACTAACACGTTAACGATGCCGCTGTCTTCGATGAGAAGGAGGCGCATCACGCAAAGGAGTGTCCTAATCTCGTGCTGATGGACTCCTGGTTCGACCGCATCTGGATCCGACCCGAGGGGCTATATGCGACAAAGCTTACAATGTCTATACTTAACGAGGTAGAATGCTGTCGTTTGCTATCATACAAGAAACATGGGAGCTCCTGGCTTGCGGAACAGCAAGTCAGACAAAAAAGAAAAAGAAGCAGTGAACAACTTCATTGATGATAAGATGGTGTATCATGGAATTAATAGTAGCGGGGATTTCCAAATACGTATGTCCGTCTATATAGATTTGATATACAAGAACCATATAGAAGTCTCCTGGTACGGAGTTTACCGGGAGAAACTCTCGGGTTAGGTCATTATCACATGAGTGTGTAACGTCCAAATACATACGGCCATCTATAACTTTGCGCATCTTGTTAATGTCAACAGCCTCCAGGAACATATTGCATGTTTCGAGCGAACACTCAACAGAAGTTATTATGCCATTTTGGAATATGCTTATTAACCCGGTTGCGAGTAGAAACCAGGTATCTTGCTGGATTCCGACTACGAAGAAGTATACTGGGAGACTCGGAGAATTTGTGCCACGGCTGTGTACCCTTAGGAGAAGGACTGCCGGAGAACTCCTCTATTTCTAAGCGGTGCCCATTACTTTGATAACCATGATGTACCTAGATCTATTACCAGATGTCAAGGCGTAGCTAAATTTTGAATTTTGTTGGTTGGGGAGTTTCCCAGCTGCCCATCGGGGCAGCCTACCAGTATGAGACTCAGACATGTCCCTACTATTGTAATAATCAGGACACCTCATTCTCCATGCATTACGATAGGAATACTGGCCACAATAAGTTTTAAGAACATAGTAGCAGCACCATAAGCATGAATATAGCCGAAGGAGAAAAGTATACAACGTTCAGATTTAGCTTAGCCTCGTAGACGGTAATTCGAATATCCTCATTTTCGAGTGGATCCTGTTTCGACATGAAAGTCTCACGGTCGCGTAGAAGCTTTCCATGACACCAGTTCTGATTATCTCGGTAGTAGCCCGATTTAAGATTCCAGACTTTGGCTGGAGAATCTGGTGGTGGTAGGAAACGCCCATCGCCAAAGGTATTGAGACGGGACATGAACGCGTAAGCGACCCAGCCGAATGAGAAGCAGACAGGCGTAAAGGCCTTGCCGGCTGTTTGCGCTAGGGTTTTCTAAACGATATCAACATCAATGACTATCAATACTGTACTAACGTTACGAGGAATTTTCCATTGGGTAGAAAATTCGCTGATACCTACGCCCCTTTTTGTTGTCAATTGACTGAAGAAGTTAGAAATGTTGTGGTAACCAATGTCAACATTTCATAAAGGGATAATCATTGTACTATGTTTTCGTCAAGAATTTATAGCATAGACTTTGCGCGTGCTTAAGCTAGAGGTTCTATCTATATTGAGAGTCTAAGGTGAGGAAGGAAAAGCACTGACTGTTAGCCGCAGGCCGAGTATAGGATGTTTGGGCTGAGATGCGAGAGGGGAAGAATGTACAAGTTAACTCAAACGTAATAATAGCGCTTCGCTTATGAAGAGAATTTGATATCTTTTTCTATATCGAGTTTCCGAAAAGGTTCTTAGGTTGTTGATTTATGATATTTATATTACTTCATTGGAACGGCAGAAAAGCCAAAGTTGATACGTGAAGGTATTTACTTTTGGTGCTTCCATGTAAAACCTTCTTGGTCGCTGATTATTCTTCCTTCGTATCAACGGGAAATCCACCTGAGAGCACTGGGAGTCTCCAGTCCAGCTATTTCACTCTCAGCAACTGACCCCGTCTATGCCCGTCCTAAGCACTATTAGGGGTAGCCTCGGCCAAACGCTTCCATTATTATCTGGATCTCTTATGGATGACGATGTGACCTGACAGTAAGTTTCTGTTCGTCGTAAGTAGTTGGCTGAGCGATAATCTCACACGTCTGAAAGGCTTTATCAGGGATTTGCGAGAAAGTAAAGACGAATTTTCATAATGGGTTACTGCAAGCAGAAGCTGTTGGTAGGTACGTACGTAAATAGGAATAACAATAATAACGATAAAGCAATAGCAAGTAAATCAATGGTGTTGAGACTGGTGTATTGAGATGTCTAAGGAGGGAAGAATCTATCTGAGGCTAGCTAGGTATAGCATGTTCTTATATTCCAATAATAGTGGATACCCGACCCCTTTATCCAGTAAAGTGCCTTTATGTCAGTGTCACACGACCATCAGAAGCCTTATCACGAAATAATAGTGAAAGTAATGACGGCAAAGTTAGCTCGGCTTCTGCAAATGCACACAAATTGAACGGGTATGTTTAGAGGCGTTATTGCCAAATTCATAGGAATCGCCATTCTAAGTTTGCGATATCTCACGAAGGCTCGTGTTGGCGGTCGAAGGATTACTACGTGATCCTGCTTCGGCATTCCAAGATTTCATCGTCTCGCGTGCCGAAGCACATTTGCCAACAGCGGATCCAGGTGAAGCTGAAGTCGATTACGGGCGGGCAACACCAATAGAGATTGAAGTTACGGAACCTCTATAGTCTATGTTTTTGGGATCTATCTCCTCTCTCAATCATTATATATTTTCCATCGCAAATAGCGCCACTCCAAACCGCTATCGTGTCATCGACTGTTCTCGCTTAGTTCATCGCCTTGAGCTACGTATCGCCGTGTATATGAGCGTCGAAAAAATCAATTTCGCGGCCACCTCCTATATATGGCGTGGAGTTGTTGGACCCTCACTAGAGGCCATGTCGAAGTGGGGTTCTTTTGATGTTGCCGAAGCGACAGACGGTGATTCTATCAGCGTTGACATTTTGCTCCACGTCACGCGGGCTTGCCTAATAGACAAAACCCCCCTCGTGTGATTAGATCGACTATGTATAATGCAGTGCAGTCAAACCTGAGTATCCCGAAGATCCCAGTACCAGCAAGCCCAGGCACAATGGCTACGATGTGGTTTGAGAGGCGCTCGAACTCGCAAGAACATGGGCCAACTCTAGCGGGGAGATTATTCCGAGCCCGCTGCATTTAAAATGGGTAATTAACAAGATCGATGAAGATAGCTAAATCGCGTTGATGCGTGTTGTGTAGTAAGAATATATGGAACAAATTTTGTGTCTCCTTAGCCACGGCGCTGACACAACTTTGAAGGACAGGAGGCGAAGAACAGCGTATTAACTAGCTAAATATCGGTATCATCATGTTGTGGCCATAGTTAGGTTAATACCCCCGAACAGCATTAGAAAAGCCCAAGTCAACAGTGTGAATCTTGATCCTATTACTAATTCAAGTCAATTCTACTTTTAAGGTACTCGGGGATATTAAATACATATCTTGGGGTCTCGAGTTTCTACGACTATTATAAACTGGTACTTGAATATTATTCTGAGATTGGGAGTCATATTCTTGTGATAATTATAATATTTCATTCCTTGACTGCTCTATGAAACACAAAAAGTCTGACTCTTAATGTATCTCCGACTTCTTCAATCACCCCAAGGCCGCCGCCCCCATTTATTAGGATTTTGGACTAATTGCACAGTAGAGAGCGGCCTATAGCATGGAGTATAGTCTTGTTAGTTACTCATGGAAATATTCATGCGACGATTTCCGCGAAGTGACATATATTCTACGTCGATTTCGGAGAATTCTTCTTGATACTTTGCCATCAGGACTCCTCATAGGACCGCTTATACCACACCGTTCGGCGTCCGGATTGTTGCAGTACCTAGACTTATACACATGCGGGAATGTACTAGACAAGGTTCCCCGCAAGCGGTACCTCGTGTTTGGAGAAAGGTGACGGAGAAACCGACTCCACAGGGAATCAAACATCATCGGCCGTTGTAGACTGGGGAAATACCTTGGCGGCTACTATGTCGTATAAAAGATACAGCGGCGCTCGGAAATTTCGACGCATGAAGTTGATATGGGAGAGCATTCAGACAGTTCAGCTCGGGTGCGTCCGTAACTAGGTCGCAGATGAATTCCCGCAAGATGAAGACTGTCACTACTTCGGCGATCCTGCTAGGGGCTTCTGCGGAAGCTGCTCTTTACAAGACAAAGACACCACCGATGGGATGGAACAGTTATAATCATTATAACTGCTACCCTAGCGAGGATATCATGAAGACCAATGCCCAGGGGCTCGTAGACTTGGGATTGGCTGACCTGGGTTACACATATGTCACGACGGACTGTGGGTGGATGTCGAGGGACAGAGACTTGGAAGGTCGGCTACAGTGGAATGCTACTCTTTTCCCATCTGGAGGCAAGGCCCTAGGAGATTATATCCACGGCCTAGGCTTGAAATTCGGTCTTTACTCCGGTGCAGGTTACTATCAATGCGGCTCGACGGATCTCCCAGCTTCTCTCGGTATGGACCATGCGTGTCTTCGCTGTTTGAGTAGAATTCTAACTAGCCATAGGATTTGAAGAAATAGATGCGCAGTCGTTTGCCGAGTGGCAAGGAGACTCCTTAAAGTGAGACTAAAATTAATTAGCAGAGGAGAAGTTGACAATGGCTGAGTCTTTATAGATATGACAACTGTTATTCATCCTCAAAGGACAAAATGGCAGATTATGTGTCACCGGAATCTACATCGCCTGAGCGTCACAAGAAGATGGCCGCGGTTTTAGACGACGTAGAGCGAGATATCGCCTACTTCATTTGCCAATGGGGTATCGGAGAAGATCTAGGTGAGTGGGCGCCGCCCATTGGCAACGTCTACAGGATCAGCAATGACATCTATAACTCGTGGAGGAGCGTGTGGCGGATTGCAAACCAAGTCGTGCCGTTTTATAAATCTACCTCGGTCGGTGCTTATCCCGATATGGATATGCTCATGTAGGTGTACACGTATTAAATTGCATACAGTTGCTGACATATATAGTGTTGGACTTAACGCCCTGTCTCTCGAGGAGGAGAAATTTCACTTCAGCATGTGGGCTATCAATAAGTCTCCTCTTAACATCGGGGTGCCAATGGACCCGAAGCTCGCGCCGGCCGCCTCTCTTGATGTGCTTCGCAATGAAGAAGTTATAGCTATCAATCAGGATTCGCTGGGAAAACAGGCGCGGCTTATCCGTCGGTACACCGAAGAAGAGTGGGATATTTGGGCTGGCGAGCTCTCCGGATCAAGGATCGTTCTTGGAATTGCAAACTGGAAAAACGATTCTCAGACGGTAGAGTTCGACCTCTCGGCAGCGGACGTCTCGGAGGCTCACGCTCGCGATGTTTGGGCAGCGGAAGACATTAGTACGATCTCGGGGGTCCAAAAATTCGAGCTCGCGGCCCACGAAATGAGATTGCTGGTCCTGGGCGACATCGTGGCATCGACCTCACGACCTACATCAAAAGGCTATTACTCGGTAGAAAATGCCACGCTCTCGGGTGGCGCGACGAAGGTTACCTGCGAGGCAACTCAATGCGTCCCTACGGGTAACAAGATCAGCATTGCCGCCCAAGGAGCGAGCGCAACTTTTGACTCAGTAACTGTAGGCTCCGAGGGAAAGAAGCTAGTTGGTGTTGATTTTATTAACTACGAGATCGCCCTAGACAGTGCCTGGGGCTGGGGTTCCAATACTCGAAACATGACAGTTGTGGTCAACGGCGGATTGCCGAAGAGATGGGCGTTTCCTATATCAGGAGGTGACTGGTTTGAGTCTGATAGGTTGCTTATCGAGGTTGACGGATTTGTGGAGGGTGAGAACCAAGTAATCTTTGCTACGAGTGGAAACTCGCCAGCCCCGGACCTTATTGGATTTGAACTGTTTGAATGAACGAGTTAAATGATTAGTTGAGTAGCCTTATAGAGCTGATTGGTATTATTTCGTTAGATGTATAAAATATGACAGACAGTTGCCGCGATGTCAACGAAGTTATGAACTCTATTGGATCGTTTGCGATTGATTGATTTCTTAGGTTGGACGCTCAACACATTCAACTGTAGTATCAATTGTCAAATAAAGAAGATGGCATCAAACGTCTATAACATTGGGCTTAAAATAAATCCTGAACTATCGTGTTAGAAAGGAAATACATATGAGACCTCATTCAGTGAAAATGTACTAACCTTATATAAACTCAATTCGCAACTTACCTAGGTAGGTACCCATGTACATGTACAGGTCACTGATTACCGATTAGCAACCCCTCATTGGCCACTGCCACCCGGACCTTTACCTTTCTAACTTTTGCCTCATGTACCTTTGCAGCATTTTCTTTAAATCCGAACTAGCGCCCCGCGACATTCCGTAGACTTCTACCTTTTTACCCTTTCGCTGATCCATCTAGCAACTTTTTCTTCTCCATCGACGTTCTTTTCTACGTACTTCACATAACACAAACATACACACGCTCATTCGCGCGCTACCCATTTATACTTCTCGACGCGTAAATCAAGATGGCTCGCAACCGTTCCGCCGCTCGACCTGCTCCGGCTCGTCCCACCGTCCCCAGCAGAGCGTCTGCTTCCTCTTCTCAACAGACGCGGCCGGCAGCGACTTATGCCCCGGCGCAATCTGCGCACCCGCATCCCCCTGCGCAGGCCGCTCCCCAGGGCTCCCAGGGACCCGGTTTGTTTGGCCAGATGGCCAGTACTGCGGCGTACGTATCATCTTAATCGACTTTTTATATAAAATTAATATATATAAACTATAACTAACATCAACACATACAGTGGTGTCGCAGTAGGTTCCTCCATCGGCCATGCGATCGGCGGGCTCTTCGGCGGCGGCGGCTCTGCGCCGGCCGAAGCCTCTCCCCAAGCCGCCAGCGCACAGCAGCAACAGAGCCAGTGGGGCAACAACTGTCAGGGCGCCACGCAGTCCTTCACCAAGTGCATGGACGAACAGGGCGGAAATATGCAGATCTGCGGCTGGTATCTCGAGCAGCTAAAGGCCTGCCAGGCTGCTGCTAGCCAGTACTAAGATATTCATATGTTCCAAGATGGGGTAGGGAAGGAGGAAAAAGAGAAAGGAGCAGGAGGAGGCTGTGAGGATGGCTGGAAAAGGGGGTAATGAGAACTCTCCCATCTCTGCGCCTTTAGGCCGAAGTAATCGTGTCCTCTAGCTATTTGTATCGTCTTTAGCCAACGCATAGTTTTGTCTGTGGAGTGCAGTCGCGTTTGCTTGCGGAGCCCTCGAGCCAGTGCTTCTGTATATACTGACGTAAGACGATTCATAAAGTAAAAAATTTCACCCTACGTTCTTTGATATGTGTATTCCTTCTGGTATGTATGAGTTGACCGATTTTGATACATTTTGTCGTCGAATATAATTAGACCTGTCCCCAATCTAACACCGCTACCTCATTCACTACCTACGCATGGTGGACTACAACACGTTACAAGTAGATATCTCTAATATAGAGGCGAGACGTTGCACGTGGATCAAAATCTAACATCTCTGATTCGTTATACAAATAATTTGCGTAAGTGTACACTATATACAATACCAACTCAAACCTGCGTCTGTCTATTTATACTCGGGCCATACTGTGAGCTGCAGTTTCTAATAATCATCATATTCCGGTACAAGTTTGAACGGAATTTCGTGCATCTTACGTCTGCTTTCTACCCTCGCTTTAAGCATGGATATAGCTAGGCTATTATCCCTGTGGTCGACTCCGACCTCCTGGGCACGTCTCACAAAATAGCCGTTGATGAACTGGACGGGCGGTTCTCTTCCCATTCGGACATCCGCTACCCACTGGCTATACTCCGCACCTTGCCTCTCTAGCCTGACTCTGAGCATTGTCGCAAACTGCCTTTCGTGTAAGAATCTGAGCTTCTTGCGATGGTCTTGGAATTCGGGAAGAGATGAGATGATGTGTATCGTCTCTGCTAACATATTTTCCCATAATCTCATCGCATTTTTATTGCGCCTTATAAGGTTGAAGTTGCAATCTAAGATGGCCGAGAGCGTGTCGGCTAGGGATTGAAATATCATGTCGGGTAGCTTTTGCAGCAACAATCGTGACCAGGACACGCCGACTGCGTTGAGGTCACTAGTCGCCGAGAGGAGTTTGATCATGTGCCGAGTATGTTGATTCCCAAGCAGTTGAGACGTTGCACTGTCTAAATCCTCGTCTTCGTCATTCCTAGGAACCGCGTGGAGAAGTAGTTTCCCAGGTATGTGTCGTATCGAGTAATGATAGTACGAATGTCTCGCAAGTTTATGACTGCTGTGACAAATTACGTAATTTGGACGCAGAGCGGGAACACCAAACACCTCCTCGTTTAACATTTCCATCAATCCAAGCCCTGGTTCGAGCAAGCAGATTGTTGTTCGACGGTCGATGCGTTTACGCAAGGCATACAAGGTGGGGAAAGCAGCCCTGGCCGCAGTGCTAATAATAATATTGTCCAAGATAGGCTGATACCCTAGCGACTTATACCGACGACTGACATAATCTGGGCAGAGGATTTCCCGGGAAGATATGGGATGGCCGTTGCTATCATGAATACTGACAGCTCTACCTTCCTGTCCCCATGCCTTCATCGGTATCGGGTTGTGAGTGAGCATCTGAACCGGTGGTAGTTTAGGATCAGCGGCAAGAGCGTGGGCGACGAATCTTGCATGTGGATCGAAGCCTACAACGTGAATCTTATTCGAGAGCGTGATCGCGGGTACTGGTCTCGGGGAATTTGACTCGGTTTTCGTTTCGGCTCCTATTTGTGCTGCTACCGCCGCCGAGGCTCTAGCGGAATCTGCATCCTCTTTAGTAAACGGGTAGGGAGGTGTATCAATGTTGTACGTTGGCGGTGACGTATAGAAGGGATAGCTTGGAGAAATACCCTCTCTCGACCCGCCTTTATGAGATGAGGTTGGAGGGTAATATATAGGAGGATCGAGGCGGAAGCCGTCATTCTGGCGTTGTAGGTCCGGCATTACGGCAGCGACAGCGGACAAGTACTCGGTGGCCCCCCGGCCCACAGAGAGGTTATCGCGACTCCATGTTGTAGCTCTGCTAGGTATTCGCGCTGAAGCCCGCGAAAGCGGCTGGCGAAAGATATGAGAATACAGGATGGGAGTTTATCGTGAGTTAATCGGCTGTTCTCATGTCGTTGGAATGGCCGAGGGCTGAATCGTGACTCTTTGCTAAGGCCAAACCCTGGACATCGGGCGAATATTGAAGAAGATGAATAAGAAATTAGAAGAAAGAAATATCGGTCGAAATAATAGATACAAATTCGACGCGGTGGAACCCAGCAGCGTGCGTTTACAGTATAGGTTTACACCTGCTTTTCATGACGACGATATGAAATTTTTTTTCTTGAACGGATCCGATTCGGGCCCCACGATTGCGCTAAGCCGGTGCGAAATGAAATGGCTATTATTGGCGGAAGCAACTGAAGGCCCATATTTACATCCAAGTAGGTAGGGTAGGTACGTCGTACTGACATGTATAGAGGTACCTACGTACAATTGCCCAGGGTTCTTAGAATTCGCTTTATTCTTTCTCCGTTTCATATTCTGCCTCTAATCACCGCCATAATTGTTTCAATCCATGTTTAATAATTGCGACCCGCGCCAATGCGATAGTCAACCTCAGATAAACCAGCGCTTTCCTCGAATGATGGTTGCGAATATCTTATATCTGATTCTTGCATAATGGACCCGCCAAATATTTCACCCCAGTTAGATCGGCTCGACGATGAACTTGATAACCTTGAGGAAGCCCTACAGCCCATCCTTGGTAACATCTCGGATGTCGCTAATAAGCTGCCCCTGCTCGACAAGGCCAAGCTCTACGTGCTTGCGACCTATTCCATCGAATCGATGCTCTTTTGTAAGTGCAAGCCTTTTAAATATTGCAAACATCTATTGGTCTGACATACGACAAGCTTCCCTTCGACTCAATGGCGTCGAGGCAAAAGAACATCCCGTCTTCAAGGAACTCGCCCGCGTACGACAATACTTTGACAAGATTAAAAATATCGAGACTCCCCCAGCGAAGCCCGAGCATACCCTTAACAAGGAAGCCGCCATTCGATTCATCAGAGCCGACTTAGCCGAGAACAATAATAAGATAGTCAACACTAAGCTAAGCGAAATGATCGCGAAGGAACGCGCCAAAGCCGCCCTAAAGGCTGCTCAAGCAAGTAGCAAGCGAAAGGCCGAGATATCTATACCGCCAGTAGAGCCCAATACCGAATCTAATGCCGAAGAGGTTGACTTGGAAATTTCACGGAAGAAGAACAAAAAAGAGAAAGAAGACAAGAAGCACAAAGACAAGAAAAATAAGAAATCTTCCAAGTAAGATATGGAATTCATGGGCGTCGCGATTAAAACCGAAACTTGCAGCGCCATCATCTACCACAGCTTCCGTTTCTACTCATAGAAGTCGAGGATGCGTATTAGGAGGGTCGAAGAATTGCTTTATAATCTCTAATATGTTGCGCCGAGATATGCTAAGTTGGAGAACTAATTCAACGCCCTAGCAAGGCGAGCGAAGGAAAGCGAAGGGCCCTCGGACCAAGTGAGCTTAGCAGGTTAGCAGATTGCCAATACTCCTACAAACACTAGGCTACCAGGCTACGATACTAAGGAAAGTCGAGCCTTTAACATAGATAAATGAGTATTCAATAGCGCTGGACTCATCTGACCAGTTGATGGCTAGGTAGGTGATGCTGCCTGTCCTAAACTCTGCGCAAGGCTTGATACCGACTGCTATAGTCATCCATATACCAACTTAATAAAATGCGAAGAAACTTGATACCTCCGTAGGAATCTGCATTGTAAACATGTAATACTATGGACATACCGCGCGAAATTGTCCTAACACCGGCGAGGAGTCGGATCCCCCATACTGTAAACCGGCATCGGAAAATGTGGGGCTCGATGGCGGAGCCGATCTGGCGTACCGAATTACCATACTGGGTGGTCCTGTTACCGTATGCACCCAACCAAAATACCTAGGTAGTTAAAGGTATGTTTGGGTATGGTATTTAGATAGTAATTAGAGAGTCCGATATATTTCCCTGCCTTTCCCATTTCATAAACTACTAGTTAAAAATACGCTGCTGCAATTCGAACGTTCATGTTGCTAGGCGTTGTAGGTAGGTACTTTAGGATTGCGGCGTCGGGAGGCAATTTGAGTCCCGTCCGTCAAACCCTTGACAAAACGTATCCGGTAACGTCATGGCGGAACGAGATTTTAACTGATTCAGCCGGGTCCCTGGTCAGAACCGGGATTCAATAAAACATCCGGTCCGAATAAGAGATATGCGGATTTAAGAACAAGAAGTCCAATATGCCGTAACTAAGAACGATCTGTTCCACGACAGAGGATATATAAAAGCCAGTCGCCACGCAATATACGTAAGAAATGTCTAGACCAATATTGGTTCCCATAGCTGCGCCCTTCCCTTCCAGTAGCACAACTTACAAGAGAGCCCCTTTCTCGATTTTCCATCAAATACCATAACTCGACATAACTCGACAGTTTACATCATGGGCCCAGGAAAAGCAGCGCCCACTCGTGTCGGCGGCAAGGCCGTAGGCCCTGTTGGATTCGGCATGCTGGGTAAGTAGCCTATCATATATGACCTATGCATTAACATCAAGGTAATACTAATTAGACACCATATAATAGGGTTAACGAAGCCATGGGCCCCTGTCGAGTATCCCATTGCCGTGAAAGTCTTGAAGACTGCATTAGAGCAAGGTGCGAATCTTTGGAACGGCGTAAGTGAACCCCCCCCCCCCTCTTTACAAATCCCTAAGAGAGTAAGACTGATTCGAAAGTAGGGCATGCACTACGGAACTCCCGAGGCAAATTCTCTACATCTAGTCAAGTACTACTTCGAACAGTATCCCGAGGACGCTAGCAAGGTCGTCCTCAGTGTCAAAGGTGCATTTGGGACGAAAACCGGGCCAGACGGCAGCCCGGAAGGTATCCGCGCTTCTGTTGAGGAGGCCCTCAAAGTGCTAGCTGGTACCAAAACCATCGATGTTTTTGAGTGCGCGCGGGTCGACCCTAATGTTTCCGTCGAGACCTCGATCAAAGCATTGGGTGAGCTGGTAAAGGAGGGTAAGATTGGCAGTATCGGCCTCAGCGAAGTTGGCGCGAACACAATCCGCAAAGCTCACGCAGTGCATCCTATCTCGGCCGTCGAGATCGAGTTGAGCTTATTCACGCCCGATCCCCTTCACAACGGTGTTGCGGATACTTGCCACGAACGTAGGTAATCTGGGATATAGTAACAAGTTATAATTCATCCACTAACAGTGCCATCCGCATCTAGTCGGCATCCCCATCGTAGCATATAGCCCTATCAGCCGCGGGTGGTTAACCGGCGAGCTGCGCAAGCTGGACGATCTCCCGCAGAACGACTTCCGCCGCATGCTCCCGCGCTTCCAGCCCGAGGTCTTCGACCAGAACTTCAAGCTCGTCGAGGCAGTGGAACAGATTGCCAAGCGCAAATGTGTTACGACGGCACAGGTGGCTATCGGGTGGGTGATTCGTCAGGGCGCTATTCCTATCCCCGGTTCTGCTCGGGTCGAGCGCGTCATTGAAAACACGAAGGCCGCCGAGCTGACGGATAGGGAGTTGGCTGAGATTCAGAGGATTCTTGATACCTTGCCTATCAGTGGGGAGCGCTACGGGGGTGGGCAAGAGAAGTTTCTTAACGCGTAGTGGGTAGGAGAGTCTACTAGGTTAGGTTGCTTCCTTGACGGATGATGAATGAGATTTAGTATGCTTCTAAGGGAGGAGGGTATATGCCTCAATCTCTTTAAATTACTCGAGTACCTGAGCGTAGCTGGAGGATTGTTGATATAACAAACGCCAAATAACCCAAATACATTGCTCTCAACCGCTAATGAATACTTTCGCCTTTTAACTCAATACGAGGCAAGTTATCCTGTAGAACGTCCTACCTCTGCAAGACAAGATAATAAATAAGCCGGTAATTGGCCAAATCTCGAGAGCCTAATGCGTGCTGATATACTTGACATGTCATGTATATTTGAGGCGCTACCAGGTGAGACAATCTGACCTCGATTATTCCTGTTAGGTTTTTCCGAGACGCCTGTAGCTCTGGATGTATTGAATCATGTTGACGTGTGGGCAACGAGGATTTCTTCGACTATCCCCGAGTAATTAGCGAATGTGTATTCTAATTATCTCTATCTCATTCATCGTCGAGGACCTAAACGATAGTTTATCAAGAGGTTTTTGCTCGTAAGCGTCATCGTATAATTACCCTCTTTTCGACTGTGAGTACTTTATCGAATATTTGAACAAGCAGCACCCGAATTTCTGCTTGGATCGGTGCATCTTCATTGATGCTCCGATTATTATTCTCTGGACGGTGTGCCATCTAGATGGGCTAATGACAGATGTGTTTCGATGTCTGCTTTTTGTTGCGTAATTACCCACATAGCCCATCGGGAGGGAGTAGGTGAGTGTATCGTAGGTTTCTACGTGTGTAAATATAAGCAGATGGTTGGGTACCTCTTTGGTAAATAACGTTGTACTTTAATGCCTTATTGAATAGGGGTAGATTTATTCGGGCGTCGCCGTTCCGACAAACTGGGGATGTCTAACAAAGTAGAGCCGGTGTATTTAGTTTACAGACTTTAATACCTTATGCTATGCAAAAAGAATTTGCCATGTTTCATATTCCATTTCATTGGCTGCCATAGGTGCAGTTGAAATCGTGCCTAGCATAGAAGAATTAAAAGGCAACTTAGAAAGATACCAACTCTTCGCCCATCTCATTCTTTCCGCGGACCTAGTGAAAAGGCCTTTACCGTCTTCCATAATCTTGCACCTACGACCAAGTAACTGCTCGCACGCCACGAAATAATCGCTGAGCCGCTCCGTTAGGTCGGGGTAGTTAACGCTCTCCCGAGCGGTATGCGCATCCCAATCTTGGTCTTCTAGGAAGAGGAGGTGGGTTAATACGATATTGGAGTAGGAGAGATGTGCAATCATGACGAAGCTGAGCGCCGCAAACATGTCTCCTGGGATGGTGAGATACAGCTCAAGAAGCGACTTTGCGCTTTGACAACAAGTCCACAAGGCCTGGCTCCGCATAAATGCCTTATTTGCAGTATCTAATGATTTTATATCGATTACTGGCTCGTACAACCGGATGAGGACCATGTGATAGTGATGCCATACGAGGACTGTAGGATTGTTAATTGGAGCATACGAATTTATGAATGCTTAATAAAACTTACAGTTGGACTTCTGGTCTTCTGGAAGGCGATTGACTATATCATCAAGCTGCCGTCGAATACTAGTCATCGCCATGACATGCGATACTCCTAATGCCGCCTCCCCATTAGTACTATTCTCCGATACTATCTTGGTCGCCTGAAGTACTAGATGCTGCATGCGCACAAGTGTAACGGCAAGCTGATCTGTAGAGCAATCCATGGCTTGGGTTAACTCGTTACAGCATTGACCCACGTATTCCGTAAACTCCATCGGTTCCGTACGTCGAAAAATACTTCGTATACTAAATGGGTACATTTAGACTTTGACATTGGTGATAGGTAATCATCATTAATACCTACACTGATGAGATATAGAACACGCCAAGTAAAGTTCTTCGTTCGGCATGAGTATGCTCCTTTCGGATATTCATCCCTCTAACTAGTATCGTAGTTTCTTCTATGATAGATCTCGAAGGCATCGTTTGAGAGTCTGGAGGTCTATTAAGTCCCATGTCGCCGACCATTGCAATCGCTAATTGCATAAGACTTGAATCATGAGCATGTACGAAGAAATGCCAAACTTGCCTAAAATTTCATCAACAAGAAAGCACGATGAAAATCACGGCGTCAGAACCTCGCGCTAGTATTGTGACGACTTACCAAGCAATATAAATAAGTATAGCTTGTAGTAGCTCTAAGCTTCTTTCCTCCTGCACTACCACGTGGAGGGCGAAATATTCCCGAAACCACTTTTCTATCTCACACTTAACCGGCCAAGGCTGGGGACGACAGACGTATATGATGGCTTTTAGTAGCAAGGGCCGATCCTGGAGCATCTCACGGGCCGACCAGGGGGGTAGATTAACGTACGGAAAGCTGGGCTGCATAGTGGTTCTATATTCGAATAGAACTTGATCGGCCTCGACAACGGATACACGGAATCCAGCCGGAAAGTCGATATACTCTTCAGGGGGCTTAGGAACTGAAGATAATGCAGAAGGTATGCCGACGTTTGGAGAAATTGTATATGAATTGCCAACTTCCCCATACGACATCCGAGGGCCTAGCTGTTGGGTTTGAGGAGCCGGCAAATTACCTATCTTGGGGATTTGTTGACCCGTGGTTAACATGGTCATGATGCTGTCTACTTTTCTCTCAAGTTCTCCCACCCGTCTGAGAAAAAGGAAGAAAGAAGTATTAGTACTAAGCATCTAAGGCTGGTCAAGCGCTTACTTTGATCTACCTCGCCGTTTTCTGGGACCTAACTCTTGAATAAAGCAGTGCAGCTTAGATTTAGAGCATCTAGACTCATGTCAATTACAGACCATCGGTATGGTATTGTCAGTTTTCAAGAATATACCTTTCACAGACAGACCCTGTTAGCCAATGACATTTCGTCTTTGAGCGAGCACAATTCACGCACGCCCTCTGCTTATTGGCAGATATCTCCGGCCTATCGACCTCCATGCCGGGGGGTACGGGTGGGGTAAATGCCGAAGCCATTCTCGAGGAGCAAATTAACCTCCGCGAATGATTAGTACGGCGGGTTGAATGATATTGGTTTTATATATATCTCGGGAAATTTAAGTAGTCCGAAAAAGCCGGAAATGTAACCGACCAATTGGAACTTCATTTGCTTTTTGAATTCCGTCGCTAAAATCCGCGCCTTATTTACTGCTTTAAGTTTACGAAAGGCTATCGTGTCGCATTCTTTCATATAAATGTCGCAGTTGAAATAAGCAGTGAAATTATGTCATTTAATTTAGTTAATGTAATAGAATTTATCTCTAAGACATTTGTCCGAAGGTTGTGTGCGAACAAGTTATAAACACTTATTCTTCTCCAAGGAGGACAGCCACAATGCGGTCATCTTCGAAATTACCAAGCTTTCGAGGCTCACGATATGATTCACCCATGTGTACGAGATTGCAATGGCCTTGCCAAATTTGATCTCGACACATTTTCCTCGAATAGTGAGGTGCTCATTGCCCATTAAATAACAACCCGGCTCACGACAAAGCGAAAACTCGAAAAATTCAGGGGCACGGTCTAAACTCATGTAATTCCAATCTTGTGAGAAGATCGCTGATTTATTCAGTGGAATCTAATTGTGCTTAACAACTGCAATGATTAAGGGGATTTATTTGTTTAAAACGGTCATTTCCCTTTTAAAGACCTTTCCCAGCACCGACGACCTAAGGAGTAAGCAGCTCTCGCTCAGCCTGCTTATGACTATGAGGAGAAGGCAGCCAGTAAAAGTTTACTCCCAAAATACATGGGAATATTACATTAATAATCAGAAAACATTACCATACACATTTCTCAAGTGCGCACTCTAGCCACACGCACAGGAGCTTTCAACTTTCTTAACCATACAGCAGTTTTACATTGTTAATAGAGTCATACCGGTCTTTTCGTCCTTCATGACAGTCGATGACATTTCACAAAGATGCCGTCTCGATTATTCAAACCTTCCGCTTGGTTAAACTTTCGTCATGATGGATACCCCGTCGTACCTTTCAATCAATATTTAAAAATCAGAAAGCAGCATTCCATTCCGGATCAAAATGATTCCGTCGAGCCTGCGGCCTCGAGTCTGGCTGCAGAGATGCAAAGCCTGCTGACATTCGGCGTTTTGGAGGCAGTGGTGGAGAAACATATCCCCGAAAGCGCGTTGACGAGGAACCTTGGTGATGTATGTGTCATCTCAAAAGATGGTCTGGATCAAATCATCCAGGACTGGATCCAGCGAATTCGTGAGCACACAGACGACCACGAAGCCTGGTTTGGAAGAGTACACCTCGCGCTTGAACAATCTAACGCAACATTGGTGTTACTACTGAAGGAACAATTTCGATGTTTTCAGGCCCTCGGAGATGATGCGCCATCTACAGTTTGCCTTATCGCCACGATCGGCGAAGCATTGGTAGCCGCAAAGATGGCGTTTACACAAAATCTTCCTCGGGAAGGCTTCGACTGGTCGATGATTTGGACTCCTCCATATAGAAACTTACTACAAGAAGATATGCTCGCTCAAGGATGGTGCCCTTCTATCATCAACTATCTCATCAGCACTTGCTCTGTCTCATCCCTGGAGTATGCAGTCTCGTGTGGGCCGGGAGAGGACGTAAAGAAGCATCGCGATTGCTCTTCGCGATCTTGTTCCAGGTACATCGTAGATACTGCAACGTATACAGCTCACCATACACGCGATTGCCAGTCCTTGCTAAGTCGGCTCCGGTACGAATGCCGCTTGATCTACAAGAAGTCGAAAGACTGATACTTGCCGGTAAGATACCTGTCGTTAGCTTTGATCGGAACGAAGGTGCGCGCGCGTACAAATTGAACGTGCAGAGTAGCGATGATAAACCATACGTCGCTTTCTCACACGTATGGGCAGACGGTCTCGGCAGCACTACAGAGGACGGGCTTCCAGATTGTCAGATTCGCCGGATATCCGATCTGGTGAGCACCGGAGATGCATTCTGGATTGATTCATTGTGTATCCCTCGCTCGGATACCGTGCGCAAGAGGGCCATCAGCATGATGGCTCAAACGTATAGCCAGGCCAAAGCTGTATTAGTACTTGACGGAACCCTACAAAGGTGCCTATCGACGGCACCCTTGGGTGTACGTGTCCTTCGGGTTCTTACCTCAGGCTGGATGCAGCGGCTCTGGACCTTACAAGAGGCTGTGCTTTCCAAGGATCTTAATTTCGCATTCGCTGACCAAAGAATTCCGTTGATTCATCTAATACCACCTCCATATGATATGCTCCGGTTTCCACACATGACCGACCTGGCCGCCGAACTATTTCGTCTGCTTAAAAAGTCATCTTACAATGTATATTCCATTGGTGATGTTTCCCGGGCTCTTCGATGGAGGACTACAAACCGCCCCACGGACGAGACGCTGGCAATAGCAAGCTTATTAGGGGTTCAGCCTTCTATCCTCGTCGACCGGAGCCCCGAATTGCGGATGATGTGGCTTATACAGGAGTTAGGTCGGATACCAAGTAATGTCATTTTTCTCAGTGGCAATAAATCAGAAGTCCCAGGATTCCGGTGGCTTCCGTCGTCATTCATGGCGGCTCACGGTGCGGGGTTTGGAGGATCTCAGCTATCCTCTGGCGCTTCGGACGCGTTGGTGACTCCCCGCGGTCTTAAAGCCATTTACTACGCTCTTAGATTCCCGAAAAGGAGAATAACAGTTGGCATGCCCTGGGGACTGAGCGATGCCAAGGGTGATCGAATGTACCAGGTACTCGAGCCGTCACCTTCTGCAGGTTCTTACGAATGCGACATGCTTTTGCTCGAAACTAATCTCTCAGCTGGGAGCGCAAGTAAATGTGTGGCCGTCTTAATTCTTGAGGTAGAGACATGCGATGATTCGTTTGTGGTATACACGAAATACCAACGAAGGCTAATACTCAGCGACACGGTAGATCAGCGAGGGGCCAATTTAGGTAAACAGTCGAATATTGTTCCAGTGACTACGTCGGGGCGTTTACGTGTAAACGTGGAATGATTCCCTGATTGCTGCTCTGCCTACCTCTCAGCTATCTAATTACGTGAGAGTTGACTTACTGAAATATTAACTAAAGACCTTTGCCTTTTAAGCCCTGCTAACTTTACTTAATTGCATCATAGCCCAGTTAGATCGATATAACGCAATGGCCTGTTGGTTTATGTATTTTCAAACAAGAAAAAATATATCTTTAACTTAAGCACCGAGTTTACTTGAAATCGTGCCGCCACAATGATTACCACTGAGGAGGCAGTTGATCCAATATCGTCTTCAGTGTGCAATAGTTGCCGGAATACGTTATTTACTAAAGATTTGTTAAACTGGGATATCACTAACCTTTCCCGTAGATTCTCACACCTAACAACGTGGAGTGAGGTCAATGTCTCGGCGAGTTTGGGTTGCGGTGGGTGTCGTATCTTGCAAAAAAATCGAGATAACTAGGAATACGAAGGCGTATGCAATGTAATCGTGAGCTTCTCTAAGAAAGATAGTTCTGGTTCCGCTCCAGAAGGTGTTACATATCTACAGCTCATAGTAAACCGCATTCCTGGTAGGCAAGTACCATAAGAATTACGGCTCTATTCTAGGTTACAGTCTGATTGCTGATTTACTTCAAATAAAGATGATCCTGCTTCTCGATTCCTGCGCGCTAGAGATCTTGTGGTAGATGGCTCTTCACCCTCCAGTTACCAGTTAGCCACGGCTTGCGTTGAAGAATGTATTCAAAACCACAGCGGCTGCTCTCCATCCCGACCAGCTCAACTTCCGACTCGGATCATTGACTGCTTACACCCACAAAATCCGAGACTCTTGCTTAGTAGAAATATGAGAGGTTCTTATGCGGCTTTGAGTTACGTATGGGGAGAGAAGCAACCTTACATGTAACGATAATAGCAGCCCTCGCCAAGAGGGTTAGAGAAGGAGTTCTCCATGATCGACTACGTCTTCCTCCTTACAGCCGCCTACCGTCCATCTGCCCAGAAAACGGACAAGTTGGCAGCACGTCACTTTCTCCGGTGTGGAAGCCATACGATGACAAACAAGAACCTGTGAACGGGCGGGCGTGGTGCCTCGAGGAACGCTTACTGTCGCCTCGCGCACTCGTATACGCTTCTCATACTCTACAGTACCACTGTCAGACTCATACTATCAACATCGGCGACAGTATTAACACGCCCCAGAACGGAGGGCGATTGCTACAGGTCGTTTTCTCTTCCACCACTCCGCTTCCCCTATCGAAGGCCGCGTAGTCTACGGTGATTTCGACAGTCGTTTGGATCCCCAGCGATATAACGTGACGGAATGCCATGTACTCCAATGCGAAGTTTCTTTAATAAACACAAACTTGCCGTTCGGCCGGTTCGATGGCGGGACTATAAAAGTCCGTAGTCCTCTAAGACGCGTAATATGGATTATGGAATCCTAGTGCGTCTTCACCAATGTTATACCAACGTGCAACTCCGAGTGAGCGAGATCCACTGCATCTCCAAAGCGATTGACCCCCAGGTAGAAGGTCTTCGGCCCCTTTTTAACGCATATCCAGACTCTTTGGTTGAAACGTCATCGCCACCAGGTGAGGTATGGGCTTGATCATTGTAGCCAATTCTGACGGCTGTTTTCGTCGGCTAGGATATTTTGGGTCCCTAAACAGTCTGAGGGATATATCCTGGCTCAAGCAAAATCCAGGCTGGTGCGTAATCATTATCTAATATACCTTACGAAAGCATACTTTTCCCGAAGAAAAAAGACGAAAGACCTTTTTAACTCAACATACCTAGGTTAGCAATTACTATCACCTTTCTCCTTTGTTACATGCTTCATATAGCCTGCGGCTTTCTGCTTTTCGAAATCCACGGCCAACATGTCGAATCCATTCTAATTATTTATTTCTTCTTGTTTCGATTCACTTGCAAAAGGAAAGTGACAAGTAGACCTTTACTTATGCATGGGTGCCGGCATTCGATCGCGAACGTTGTTAACGTGGCTATGTGGCGGTCAGCGCCATTAAATTAGTATAAGATTAGTCAGCTATGTTAAGTAATTTAAAAATCTTTAGTTTTACGTAACATAACGGGGTTATACGCGTTTGTATAATTTGTTACATAATTAATACGTATTGAATAAGCAATATATGAAGTTTAATTAATGATATTCTTAATGATTTAATTAATGTTAAATTAATTAATTATGTTAAATGACTTAAAAATCTTTAATTTTATATAAAATAACGATATAATATACGTTTTTACGATTTTATTTTAATTAATTAAATTATTAAAAATATTATTAAAAAGATTTTATATATTACTTATTTAATATATATTAATTATATAATAATTAAAAATTTAATTAATATTATATAATATAATATATATGTGTTAAAATAAATTTTAAATAAATTATTATTTATTATTTTATTATAAATTTTATTATATTATTATTAAGTTTAAAATTTAAATATTTTAATAATTAAAATATATAAAATAAAACGTTTATATTATTTATTTAAAATTATTAATTTTAAAAATAAATAAATTTTAATAATATTAATATATATAAAAAGTTTAAGGTTTAACTTAAGTTTTTTCTTTAAATGCTTTAAATTTAAAATTATAAAAAATTATTTAATTTATTTAAATTTTAACCGAAAATAATAATAAAAATAAAAATTTTATTAAAAGGTTAATTATTAATAATTATTAAAATAATAATTATATAACCTTGTTATATAATTAAGGTTATGTTTATATACATTGTTTACGTATAATTTATACATTTATATAATAAATATTTTTCCTTATTTAAAGGAAATATTTTTTAAAATAATTAATTAAAATATAATTATTATTAATATTTTTTTATATTATTATATAATATATAATTAATTTAATATTAATTAATGGTTAATTGATTAATTAATTATAAAATAATAAGGAAAAAAGACGATATTATTTTTATATAATAATAAAAATATTAAAAATTGTTAAAAAGGTAAAAGTGTTAAGTTTTATTTTTTTACGTGTAATAATAAAAATATTATTGAATAAGAGTTGGTATCTCCTACAGAGTATAGCATATCATTTTAACGTTTAGATTTTTATGAAAAGTTTTAAATAGCTAATGATAATATTATATTTTGGAAAAACTGTAAGGATTTATTGATCGGATAAGATATGTAAGATAAATATGTAAAATAAAGCTATAAGTTGTAAATATGGGAAAATAACGAATGTATTTATATTGAATGTATAATTGAATGGTAATAATTATGGTTATCTGATTAGAAGAATACAACGAATATTAAACTTTTATATGGTTTGTGATTTAAGATTATATAATAATACTTTTGCTCTTAGCGATGTGGCACTACACCAGTTCATTATATTATTTTAAAAGTTTTAAATATTTTTAATAAAATAAAACTTATATTTATTATATATTTAAAAATAATATAACGAAAATTATAACGATTATAAATAATATAATTTAATAATAATTAAAATATATTATAAATAATAATAAAAATATTAAATTTAATTTTTTTTAAATTTATTAAAGTTATAAAAAACAATATTAATACATATTATGTAAAAAGTTTTATAACGTATTAATATAACGTATATAATAAAAAATTATAAAATTTTTTTAAAAGAATTTTTAAAAATAAAAAAAGGTATATTTCGATTAAATATATTATAATTTATAATTGTTAATAATAAAATATTTAATATATCGTAAAATATATTTCGAAAAAAATAACTTTTTTAAAAAATTATTAAAAATAATTAATATGTTAAAAAGCTATTAGTGTTGTTTAAGTATATATAATAATTTAAATATTATTAAAAGATTTATTTTTTTTACTATAAAATGCAAAAAATACATTTTTTTTATAATTAATATTTACATAATAAAAATGGTTAACACCTTAATTATTTATAATCGATATAATAACTACGTTATATTTATAATTATAAGATCTATGTACCGTATAATATATCTTTTAAATAAAAATTATATTTTATATTTCCATATTTATTTTTTGTAAAATAATTTATATATTAATACTATAACGTTATTATATTATAAAGATATTTATACTTATAATTTATAAATTTATACATTTTAAAATATAAATCTATACTTATATTAAAAATAAAACTATATTCTTTAATTTATATAAAAATTATATATATATAAAAAAAATAAATTTATTTATATTTTTAAAACTTAATGGTTGTGTGACACTGACATAAAAGCACCTTACTGATGATAAAGTGCCCTTATCGTCGATAAGGAAAAAAAAGATAAGATACCCGATTTTACTGGATAAAAGGGTTAAATATCTATTATTATTAAAATATAAGAATATGCTTTACTTAATTAACCTTAAATAGATTTTTCTTTCTTTAAATATTTCAATATATTAGTTTTAATATTATTAATTTATTTACTATTATTTTTTTATTATTATTATTATTTTTATTTACGTATGTATTTATTAATATTGATTAATATTATTAAATAGTAATAATATAGATTAATAAGGTTAAAAGAGTTATTATTGTTTTAATTTAAAGATTTTTATTGTAATAATATAAGCGATATTAGTATTTTTTTTATATTATTTTTGTAATTTATGATAAGTTATAATTTTATCTTTTTATATAATCTATTTGTATTTTTAGTAGATTATTATAATTTAAATTCTTTATTTACGGAATTATTATTATTTATGTTAATAATCTTTTTTATTATATTTTAAAAAATATAGGTAAAAAATTTAATATAGGTGTAGATTTATATTATATATAATCTTATTAAATAAGAGAATATAAACGAGCTGTATAAACTCTTAAGTTATTTCTTTGGTTAAATATTTATATTTAATATAATATTTAATTATATAATAATACGATGGGAAAGAATTAATTTCTAAATAATTATATTTGAATAAAAAATAATATAAATATTCTTTATATTGGTAGACTTTAAAATTACCGATAATAAGGTATTATATATATATTTAATCGAAGAAATAATGGTTAAATATTAGGAATAATTTAAAGGATTTATGGTAAATAATTTTGAAATATTATTAAAATAATTACGATTAATATTATAAAACGTATTAATGTAAAAAGGTATTTATATAAAGAAATATAATATTAATTATGTAAAGATATTTATTAATTTTATATTATTACGTAATTTATTTATATGGAATATTATTAAATTAAAAGTAATAAAGATAAAGTGGTTTAATATATTAATATAGAAAATTTCGGTTTATAAAACCAAAAAAAAGCCGGTATACCCCATTACACACGCGTTTACATAATTATAAATGTTAATATAATAATATTAAATAATCTTTAACTTACAAACATTAATACATACGGTTATATTTATAAGGTAAGCCTTAATATAAAATATTACGCTTTAAGCCCCAACCCCTTCTAACCTAAAATATATATTACCTATTTTATAATTAAAATAAATATTATTTTTTACCTTTAATTAACTATTATTAATTTCCAATATTTTACTATTAATTTAATAATTAAAATTTACTCCTTAACCCCTCAACCAATTATTATTCTTAATATACCTCCTTTTCTTCCCTTTTTATATATTTAATTTTAACTTCTTACTATAAAATATGCCAAATTATTTATAATAATTAATATAACCTTAATAAAATAATTAAAATAATATTTAGGTATTATCTAACCTTTTTTCCCTTCTTCCATCAATTTAATAAAAGTTATTTATATTTTTTATAAAATAATAAAGGTATAACTTAAAGTATAACCTTAAATATAAAATTAATTAAATATAATTCCTTCCCTCAATTATAAAAAATATATTTAAATTCCTTAAATCGCCATTAAATAATTTATATATAACGTTAATAATTTTACTAAACATTAAATTAAATAAAGGAAATTAACCTACTAAAAATTATAATTTCTTCTTCTAAATAACTTTATTACCTTTACAAATATTTAATCTCCCTGTTTTAATTTTTATACTTATTAATAATTAATAAATTTAAACCTATTATAATATTCTTCCGATATAAATTCTTAATAAAATATATCTTTTAATAATTATAAATTATTTTAAAAAGATTTAAAATAATAAAAATAATTATATAAAAAAAATATATAATATTTTTAAAAATAAATTTTAATTTTTTTTAAACATATATTATATAATAAAAATTTAATAAATATAATTTTATACTATATTTTCCATTATTTTTACCGCAAAAATAGCAATTTACTTTTTTTATAATATATTTAAATATTAATATTTTATAAATATATATATAATTATAAAATAATATTTTAATATAAAATAAAATAAAATATAATACCACCAAAATTAAATAACTATCACTTTTTATAATATAAAAATTAAAAAAAAAAATAAAGGTAAATTTAATATAAAAATATTATAAATTATTTTTAATAAATTATTACTATATCAACATATTCTTAAACCTAACTTTAAAAAAATAATAATTTATTATAATTATATATTAAATATATTACAATATACCATAATTATAACATATATTATTTATTTTATTATATTATTTTAAAAAATTAATTAATAAACTTTAAATATTTATTAAAATATTTAAAAACCTTAAAAAGATACGTTAATTTATAATAAACACTAATAACAAAAATAATAACAATAATAAATATAATATTAATTAATATTATATTAATTAATATTATATTAATTATAAATATTATTATAATAATAAAGATAATAAATATAATATTTACTAAAAAATATTAAAATATTAAAAACGCCATTATTAAATATATAAAAAAAATATTAATTAATTAAACATTTAAAAAAAAACGTAAAAAAGTTAAAACTTAATAAGAAATTAAGAAAAATTAAATAAAAGAAAATTATATAATTTTTTTAACTAAATATAAAGAT